TTTGTTGTTCCATAGCGTTAACTTTTAATTCCAAGTGGGTATTTTGATTTGTCAAGTACATGTTTTTCTTCTCCAAGTCTTTCACTTTCTCAGTTAGGATTTCCAGTGTAGCATTTATAGTATCCATTTTTATACACCATGAGCTTAACGATTCGTTCACAGAAGCCAGTTCCATCTTCACTGCTTTCTTTACCTCAAGTGAGATATCACGAAGTAATTTACTCATCGCTGTCGAACCGCTTTCACCCAGCTGAATCCCATCAGTATCATCGTCATCGTCCTCCGGAATTATGAAAGACTTACGATGAAGCGATTCTTTACGACAATCCTCACATGTCCACTCCAGGTTTTCAGCATTGCGCAGAGCTGATAGCTGCTTCGAAGATAAGCCTGTGCATAATTGATTGGCGTGTACTATTTTTCTACATTTGTTGCACTCAAGCCTAGGTGACTTTTTTGTTATGGACTTATCACAATTGTCGCATTTAGACATTCTTACTTATCAAATATTGAGGGTAAATTTATCCGTACACAGTTAGACTGCGCTGTACGAGAGCTCGCGAGTGACTGAAAACTTTAAAACACTAAGTACTTATTTACGAAATGTTATCCCTTTATTTGAAAATTTGCAAGCTGTGGACGAATTTCCTCAGTTGGATATGCTTCAAAACACCATTTTTACGTCCGAAATAACACTGGTGACCGAAACAAACGCTCCTTTCGCGCTTGTGGCCTACGTGTCACATGTGCGGCGACAAGGTCACGCGCTTTTACGACTTTTATTGCCTTATTATTTAGATTTCTGTGGTTATGGCTAATTTTGTCGATTGTAATACAAAACTATATATATATATATATATATATATCAATGTTTGTATTGTGTATTGGTTAAGAGTAACGAGCACACAGTCTACATGATGGTATATGATTGCTGTGGCCCATAGACATCTACATCTATTCTCGTTTATAAATCAAAATGCAGATGCGTTGTCACCCATGAGAACTAAGAGGGAATGCCTCGTTTCCAGTAATAGGAGTTCTCTATACCATATGAAATACAGCAGCGTTAAGCTGCTATTTTACGCTGGTATTCTGTGAGAGCGTGGTCCTCCCCTTGTCGAGGTTTTTAAAGGGCCGACAACGCATCTGCAATTCCCCTGGTGTTGCGGATTTTCATGGGCGGCGGTAGTCACTGAACATCAGGTGAACCGTATGCTCGTTTGCCCCCTAATATAGGTACAACATGGCTCTACTACGTAAATTGCTACAATTTGAAAGGTTATATGCGAATTAATATTAACCCCTCAATCCTAGAAATCCTATGCACAAAAAATAATATTGAAATAATTAGGCCTGAAGTTATAATTTCCGGAAAAGAATTATTCATGAAATTAATTATAGCCCGACTAAATATAAAGGTAAGATTATTAATTACATACTTATGTATAAATAAAATATTTGTTCATACATATGTTATTTATAATTTCTTTGTGTCGTATTATACCTGTAACAAAAACCCTGTAATTCATGTTAAGTGCATTTTCAGAATCAGTACAGTAGTAAGTATAGATATAACAGCAAATAAATAATTATTTCAATCTTTTATGGTCAAATTTTCTGAAGTAAAGTTATTGCTATACCTTTGGTTACTGATTCTGATAACGTAGTTAACGGGAACCATAGTGTTTTTTTACCTGTTTTATGTTCTTTCTCTTCTTTATCATTAGCCCATAAAAAAGATTGCTGTTTAACATAGGTACCTTCAGATGTAGGGAAAATTTGCCCGTTTTAATACACATATAAATATTATAGTCGGAATTCCCGGTTTTACTTACTTTACGAAAGCCATCAAAAGTAGTTTAAAAAAAATGGTCAAAATTAATCAATACTTTTTAAAAAGCATTTTATTACCGACCAAACCTGATTTATGGACAAATTAGTTTTTTCTAGGGTTTATTAGTTTTTCATTAGCCCGACAGGATCAACTTAATGTCCGTGGCTTAGGCCAAAGGGTCACCAAAGCAATACCTCTTCAAATATCGGTGTGGAAAGCTACGAACATCGAGTGGATCCTCTCAGGCTTATGAAAAACTAGTTTAGCGTGAGCAAACGTTTTTTAAAATGTCAAACACATTTTAATATAACATATTATTTTGAACTAGCTTGCCAGGCAGACGTTGTACTGCCCTTTTCGACGACCCTTGGTCATGTCCTATTAAAAATCCTTAAATTCGATAAAAAAAATTAATGGTCACTCATGGGCAAAAAACTATCCTATCTCTCAAGTTGGACCGAACTGCACACGGTGTGCAAATTTGATCAAAATCGGTTAAGTACTTTAGGAGTCCATCGCGGACAAACAATGTGACACGTAATTTATATATATCAAGATATTGATTGACGATTTTCATTTTTAACCAGGACTATTTGCTAACAGTAGTAGTAGAAGTCTTGATCATAACTATTTTAACCGATACTTGTAAAAAACCTACATAAATAATTTTTTTTTTCAGTCAAAACTACTTTTGATCAAACTCTTTACAAATAATTTTAAACGTATTTTCGTAGGTCAGTAGTTGAAAAGGAACCCAGGAGCACAAACTTTCGGGCTCTGAAACAGAAGGGAGGAATCGAGGCTTCTCTCGATCCGGCCTCCTATAACGCCTACGTTGGGTTCGGGAACAACGTATGTGATCTCCGCAACGGAGTAACACACAAGGGCGATAACCTCTTCCTTTTCAGCAAGTAGGTTCAGACGGGGATTACGGGTCTTCCGAAGTCGTCCCGGTCCCAACGCCTTAATTCTTCGATGTGAACTGTATAATTTAAGGGATGAATTTCTTGGGAATAAAACAGCAATTATCTTCAAACCGTTCCGTGAGAGAGTAATCACTTTTCCCTATCACTTCCCTACACTTTTTCTTTCTTCTTCTTATTGACTGCTGGTATGATTTCCGAACTATTTCCCCGAACTATCTCGAAGGATTCCCGAACTTCTTTCCCGAACGAATTGCAATAAAACCCGTTGATGTCTTCTGTACGTACCTAAGTACGTGCAGGTATCGGGCCTCGGGGTATACCCCCATTACCCGGATATCCTCATACCCCATAACTATGGGGCAGTCACTTATTGCCTATCTTGGCGTGGTTATGCTGCATATATTATGTAGCCGGATAAGAATTTTGCTTTCCGTAGTTCACCGACTACGGAAAGGGAGGTAATCTATAGAGGTAACGAATTGCAATAAAACCCGTTCACTAAGCTACCCCAGAGCTATACGCGAAAGTGAGCCGCGCCATTCGCGCGCTTGCGCAACTCAATTACATGAATTTGTTCTATTACTCTCTCACGTTTTACTTAATTTCTTTATTTGCATAAGTCTTACATCAATACAATTTATTTGTATAGATAGCACAAAACAATATCTACACTACGATATACATTACATTTTCATATCACGAAAAACCTTTTATTTTACTCACAAGTTCGAAGTCAAAATTTTTTAAATATTTAACACAGAAAGTTAAAACAATGTTTCTCACTTGAATTTATACATATGTTAACTAATACAATAGTTTAATTTACATTTTCTCTATTTATTTCACTATTTAAAACACTTTTAAATTTCTTATACAAAACTATCATTATTTCACTTATACACAGGAATTTTCACATAAAAATAACACAGAATTCACCTCTTCAGCACGTACAATCAACCTGAAATGTTTTACAAGTCATTTTTACATAAATTGCTGAAATTACAAACATTTTAAATTTTTACATATTCGGCCTCCTAAGGCGGCTTAGCATGCGTCTATGAACTCACACTATTTGAACAACTAACTTTTGCACGGCTCTCGGCTATCAGAAAAAATGAAAGTCTGATATACACCAATTTTAACAATATTAGGTAAATTAAATGCTTTTATACAATTTTCGAACTGTAGGAAACTATTTCTAATCAGATTCTTATCAGTTATCATGTTCCTTATCAAACAATATAAGTGAATGTTTTCATAAATCAATCATAACAAATAGGCATTTGTTTTCAGTGAGTGATCATCTCGACCGGGGAACAAATCCGATCTTTAACTTCACTTTAATATTCCTTTGAATTTACATAATTGGAAAGATGATTTCAACCGGGGAACAAATCCGGTAACATAATTTATATCATAAAATTCCCTATATGAATTTATTGAAAAATATTACTTAGAAAAACAATAAACTAGTCCGGCCTGGGAGTCGAACCCAAGACCTTCATATCATTAATTCGACATTTCTTTAAGATTTAACTAAGCATTTTCTTATTAGAACATTGTTGCTCGATAATTTGCTTTTTAGAAGCTATTCGTCATCGGTTGACTTAATAAACTGAAATATTCTTATAGGCGCGTCGCCAACAGTAGTAGTTTTGACCGGGTCAGAGTTTTGACCGTAACATAAACAAATATTGTATCTAAATAAATACCCAAGGCAAGAGTAAAAGCCTTCCAACTATCTAGCGCTACATCACAGAGTAATAACACAGTATACCAAGAGACGTACATGAAGTTTTAAACCTGCGTCACGCATTCCTCAAACATAGCTTTATTTTAAAAAGCGATGATATAATGTTAAGTGAAATTCAGGTAAGTTGAGAATAATATGCTTACTAATGTAGGCAAACGTTAGTGTTCCAACAACTCCCTTAACATACATTAAATATGTACATACATTTTACTCACATCGCCTTTCTCATAAAAAAGTTTATCTCTCGGATCTTACGCTATAAAATCCTTATTTAGAAATTAGATTTTACGTAGTCTTTTATACGTTGATATGATTATTGTGCCTTGTTTGTATAAATTTATGCAAAAAGCATTCGCTAATTAACGTTATCAAGCTATTACAATCCGGCGACCGATAGTAAATTAAGTAATCTCATAATTGACATTATTTCTGACGGATTTCAAATGTGAAAATGCATTAAGAGTGATAACATTTGTAAGGAGAAGAAATGGAAATGTATCTTTTATTAAACTCCAAGTTATAATTGAAGTTATTTTCACACTATCGTTACACATGGTTATAACTTTATATCCTAGGTCCAAACGAATGCATCATCATAATTTTTGTCTTGGACCAAAAACGAGTGGATCGAGCGATACTTATCAATCAATAACTCAAACCAGCTTAGTTTATTGGTAGCGCAGGGGCTGGACGTTTCAAATTTCGAATTTCACACGGAACAATTCTTTCTATGGCATAAAAATAATTGTTACGTATCTGAATGTCTCCCTATGTGCAATTTATATGTGCAAAATGTTTCCATCATACAGATAATTCTAGTGTAAAGAAGTTCAGACTTAATAAAATATATAACTCCAATCCATGTTAGAGTTTCACATGGATTGATGTCACACAAATCAGTCAAATGATATTTATACCAATATCATCACAACATCATTACAGCCCTTCACAAGTCCACTGCTGAACATGGCTACCCCAAGAAATGCCACAAAGCACGGTCCTGAGCCACCTGCATCCATCTACTTCCTGCATGTCTTACCTGCTCGTCACTCCACCTAGTGGGGGACGCTCTATGCTTCGTCTTCGTTTTCTTTAAAAAACATTTTATTACCGACAGTATGTGATGAGTGATAAGAGGGGTGACTCTTTTTTCGCTGAAAAGCTAAGTATAGCCATTTAGCGAAAAAACTTAGGAAGCGTTCTTGGCAGGAAGTAGCACTGTATTATAATTAAAGTTTTTTTTTACTGTGGTAATAATATAATAATATATCGTATATTTTAATGTTACGTTAATAAAATATATGTAAAAATTAATAAATTTAATTCATATAATAAACATAATTTGATATGTTGATAATTCTATTACAGAATAGATGCTGCAAAACACATGTGGCCGAGTGATCTCCGAAAGATTTACAAAAGGCTTCGTACATTGAATACCGATTTTGGTTTCCCTCCGAACACAAACCCATATATTTATCAAGAGGTCATTTATTACGGCAATGAGGCCATTAAACCACACGAGTATACTCCTTTAGGCGATGTCACAGAATTCAGGGCAAGTTCTTTTTCCATTCATTAAGCCACGTTTTATATTAAGTAGTCTTTTACTATGCATGGTCATGTCACTCGTAACCTCCTAACTAAAAAGCTGAATTTCATGTGTTATATTGATTTTTTGAACAAACAGTGCGTGTTGCTTGTGATGACATATGTGTTTGAGACTTGGTGATTCACTGCTAGCCGTATAAGGAAGCTCAAGGTCGCTCAGTGAGCTATGGAGAGGGCTATGCTCGGGGTGTCTCTGTATTATTGACTTAGAAATGAGGATATCCGTAGAATCCACAGAGTAACCGACACAGCCCAACGGATAAATTAGGCTGAAGGGCCCACCAAATAGCTCGAAGAACCAATAACCAATGGGAAAGAGAGGTTTTCGAGTGGTTGCTTGATACCGGTACGTGAAGCCTAGGGCGGCCTTCCTTAGATGGAGTGACAACCTGGTAAGTCATGCTGGAATTCGATGAACGCAGATGACTCAAAGCCGACCTTTGTGGCGTTCCTTGGTAGAGGCATATGTTCAACAATAGAACTGTGAAGGTCTGTAGTGATGATGATGATTGATTTTTTGAGGTTGGTTCAATATTATTTAATGTTAGAAACTCAAGTGCAAAGCGCTTGTCGTAAATCTCATAGTAAGCTAGCAATCCAAGTTTAATCTTCGCCGGCACTAATGAAAATTTTAACTGATATTTTAAATGCTGATTAACCACGAGCTCAGCCGTGAAGGAATACGTTGTGATAAAACTGCGTTTCTTAGATTTAAAAACTATTTCAGACATATCATTTACACATACATATTACACATAGCATCGCGATGGACTAAGTCCTCTGTAATCCTCTCATAGAGGAGACCTGTGCCTAGCAGGGCGACAGTAGCAGGCTGTATCTTGGATTTTGTAATAATAACCAATTTTGATCTATTTTTTATATAAAATTTTAATAAAAAGCATAAAAAAACAAAATAGTTTAAATAGTAAAATAGTTTCAATAACGAAATCGGTTCTTGGACATATTGCATAGAAGAACAAAGTCCCAAGAAGAAATACACTTCTGATTAAATCAGAGATGTGGTACGAGAGACATGCGAAATGCGAATGCGAGAGACGCGGGAAAGAGATGTATGGAAAGGCTTAGGAGATAGGCCTACGCCACAGAGGCGACTACTACTAATATTAATTAAATCATATATACATACATAATTATAAATATAACGAGAAAAAGGTACATATTAACTATACTATTTTAACCGAGATTAATCCTATATCAAGTTAGACTTGAAGTATGTGTACAAAGAAACTAAAAACGTCCTTTCGCCTTCTAGTTTTACACCAATAGGGGTGGAATTCTCCATTACTATTTTGGAACCCGCATTTTTTAAAAAAAAAAAACTAATCATCAAATCGGTACACAATCAGTACAAAAACAAAGAAATCGCGTAACATATAAGCAAATAAACGCAGTCGAATTAAGAACCTTTCTTTTTTTGAAATCGTCTAAAAATGGTAATTGGTAAATTTAGAATGAAAAAAATATTGTTTTGTGTAGTCTCTTTCTTAATAAGATTTTTCACGTAAATCTTTTCAAAAAAAAAAAACCGTTGCTGGATATTAACTTTTTGAAGAATGAGTCTAATCAAACCTTTATTGAGAGATCATTTTTACCGTAGGTAGGTAAATAACTGTACAGCCATCATTAGGCTTTCTGCCGATTTTTACATTATCCTTTTCGATTGAGACTTCCAAAGTTCTTCAGCCAGTTCAGAGTCAATTTCGAGTTTAAGCTCTACATTTTGTTTGAAATTCGTAATTATCTCTGAATACCAGCCTTGGCTATTTTAGTGTGGAGGGATGGAGGGAGGGAGGGGAGAGGAGGACACATAATAATTAATTAACAATTTCACACACACATAGGGACATTATAACAGTATCGCTCAGTGATAGCGACAATTCAGATATAGGCTCAAATTAGATCGGTCGAGCCGATCCGCATTTTGTATCAGGGCAAGCGGCCTGTGTTGGTAAATAAATTCGAAGCAACACTACGTAAGGAGAGCGTGGATTTATACGTTGACAGAAGGAAACTTCCCTCCAGTACGCTGCGCCTGTGATTCGTTTATTCTGTGGGTTAACCGGACGAACAATCTTATTTTAAACTAGCTGGTACTCGGCGTGTTGCTGCCGCAGAAGAAATAAATGTAGAAATATCGTTTTGAATCTGGAAGAGTTATATTGATTAAAACTTTTAGAGTTATATTTTTTAATTAGGAATGATAATAGTGCATTCATTAATAAATAAATCATGATATATACTTCCAAATAAGTTTTTCGGTACGATACGCGCGCTACCTAATGTAAGTTAATTGTACAATTCCTATCATTCACGCAAGTGCAAGCAATAAGTTGACAAAGTTTTAGCGCAATCTCATGAATAGTATGGTAGCGCATAAAATACGAAAAAACAGATATTAATTTTTACATATTAGATATAAGTTACATTTGGGCGATTACAACTAAACAACTAAAAAAGAAATCTCAAGCTTATCTCATGCTTCTTTGGTAAAGTTTAAATTTATATTTTAAATTTGAATTTATATTATTTAAAATTGTATTCTTTGTTATTACAAAGAAGGAACGAAATGAAAACTTCGTCTAAATTTATCAAACGTTAATTACAAGCCTACCGTTGAAATTAATTAGCCCTATAGCCCTCAGGCTTAAGCAAAGGGTTTATGCACAACTTATATAAGAGATCTTAATTTTCAAACAATATTCTAGGTAGCACCAACGCACATCCAATATATTCAAAAGCATATTTTAGACACACTCGTTTCAAATGCAAATAGGAATTATTATTCTTCATTAATAAAAATACTTACATAAATGATTGAATTAAAAAAAACCCTTACAGTAAATGTCACCAAAAATATGTTTTGTTCACTGCCAATAAAAGGTTATCCTATGTCAATGCCAATGAGCTATTTCAAAAGATTCGATGCAGTAGCCTCGCCGTGTAGTGGCGTTATAAGTATCCCACTGCCCCATATCATCCAGTGGGTGTCGTAAGAGGCGACAGATGGTTAAAACAGGTCATGGACAGAAGAATATTCCTGGTAACAATTTAAAATGATAAAAAAATAACGGTTCCCAACCTGCTTGCCCAGCGTGTCATCTATTTTTTTTTAAATAAAAGAATATTAACAATGCTATAAACATTACTAATATTCCCCTTAACCACTCGTGGTAAGCTTAAATTACTTGTGTTACGAGTGGTTCACGCTAGTAATCGAATGGCGGATTCGAACCCACGACCTTTTAGCTACTAACTACAAATCCTCTTTATAAGACAATCCATTGGGGAGGCCGACGTTTAGCAGTGGTCTTTTATCGGCTGGAAAGTGAGAGAGGGAGAGAGAGAGAGAGAGAGAGAGAGAGAGAGAAACTTTAAATTGTCACAGTATAAGTGGAGTTGATTTTACAATCATTAAAAAGTATTATAGTACAAATATAATTGTCTTGCAAAAACGTGTGCTTCGATTTATATAAGATATTGTTAAATAAGAATTTTAATTTTAGGTCGGATCAGAACTGAAGAACGTTTACCGAGGTCACAACGCTCTAAAATGGCTAGTGTCGTGGGGGGAACAATGGGGCCTGTCACCGAGAGATACCGCCCTAACTTTTATAGATAATCATGATACTCAAAGAGGTAGTGACGTTTTGACCTATAAGGAATCGAGAGCCTATAAGGTATTGTTACCGACATTCATCAAAGCAAATATTATTTCATGTTTCAGCTCGAGGTTTAGTGCTCGTCTTAAACTATTTTAACCACTCCCCCCCCACCCCCAGTTTTTTTACTTTCTTTTTATTATTAGGAAGACGCTGCTGCCCATCTCCTGTTATCCCTATGACGCATCTTACGACGCTCGGGACGATATAGAGTAGTGGATATTTTCCACCAGCACTACACGGGTAACCTAGATAATACTTTAAAAAATCGAAATGCGTATGTATTTTCAGTCGTGAGATTTAAGATAGTATGCCTCGTTTCTAGTAAAATGGGTCTCCGGTTCTCTCAACATATAAAACACAGCAGCGAGTCGAGTGAACTCGTTCGGGTTACAATATGTTATACTCGGGTTATAATAAAGACATAAGACAGGAAGTGTCCACCGCACTGCCTCTTGCGTGTTGGCGGACTTCATATGACTTTGATTTTATTTAAGGCCATGTTTAAAACTTTTTTATTTAATATTCATAAGCTTTACAACAAATCCCACACTCTGGAAAGGCCGAAACGTCGGGAATAAAAATAAAAGTAAATAAAAAGTAAAAATAAATAAAAATCCGTAATAGTTTTAATCATGTATAGTGTTCGCGTAAATATAAGAAATCATTAAATATTTCTATTCAAAAATTATAAACATAACCTTTTAATTTTAGCTTATAGAAAAAATACTTATTTTCGAAACAATTTCAGAATATGTTTTAAATTTTCTTTCTGTTAAGGCATTGTTGTAAAGTTTTTGATGTCTAAAACCCTCACAGTAATGAGGTGAGCAAAGCAGCAAAGTACCAGCCTATATACATCCATTTGCCTGGGCCAATGTGTAATATATACACGGTAATATTATGGCGTATACAGTATTTAATTTGAATTACCTACCAGAAAATTTTACCTATCACGTGAAATCAAAAAATTTATTTTACAGAGTTATTCGCTTTGTCTTATTTGATAAATTAAATTAAAATACACTCAGTCCAAAAGAACTTATTAATAATTTTGTATGAAAAGTTTTAGCGTAGTTTCAATAACATATGCCAGTAATACTGTTCATATTTATACAATTTAATTAATTTAATTTTTTCGAAAAATATGTACCGAAGGAATTGTATTAGATTATTACAACTATTTCCACGTACTTGTCAGTGAAATTCAACCACCTGTGCTTGATATTACCCAATTTAGAACATTTTCCTTAACTAAATTCGATTATTCACAGGTTATAAAATATATAAACTTCACAATTCATTTTTAAATTTAAATTAATAGGCAGCCATAGCTTTTATGTTGGCGCATCCTTACGGCGAACCTCGAATTATGAGTAGCTACATTTTCGACACTAATGAACAAGGACCGCCTAACGACGACAATGAAAACATCATTTCGCCAAGTATTAACAAGGTTAATATTTTAATTTTTTTTGCACTTTAGAAAAATGTGTTTTAATTGTAATATTCTTAAATAAAACGATGATTAAGAATAACTCTATAATTCGAAATGCCACTCACTGCGAGTTTGCTACTTGTCTGGATACCTGACTGACGAACAAAATACTGTAAACTGTATATGTCTGGATACCAGGTATCTAGTATACCAGTGTAAAATAGCAGCTTAATACTTTACTTAATATTTTACTTAGATCCTTCTTTACTGGAAAGAGACATTCCATCTTAGTCCTCAGGGGTCACAACGCATCTGCGTTTTGATTCTAAAGCGAGGATAAATGTAGATGTGTATGGGTTACAGCATCCACTTACTATCAGGTGAACTGTGTGCTTGTTTATCACACTTTTTCTATAAAAAAAAACAACCTTTTGTCCATTGCTAGACACAGGGTTCTGTAGGAGTTTATTTGTCTATAGGCTGTATACTATACATTAGCTTGCATTGTAGACTTCTACGTAGGCAAGATAGGGTATAGGACTCTTTTCTCTTAAATTTTGTTAAGTAAGATGCATAAATACTGAATATTGTATTAATTAATAACAGAGCGTTAAGACTCACTTTTCTGTAGCAAAATGTGAATAACGAAGCTGAAAATGCGTCAAAAAATAAAATATGTATACAATCACTTTGGATTAATTTCTATTGAAATTGATGAGCTTATTGAAATATGGCGATTATTATTTTTCTTCATTTACCAATTAAAAATATATTTGTACAAAGTAGGTAGGTACTATGGAGATTCAAAAAATATAAAAGTATTGAATACATCCTTTTTCCTCTTTATCATCAGCCTCTAAAAGTCAACTGCTGGACACATTGGGATTTCCCGTAATCGTCACGCTTCATGGAATTCGTGATCACACTGCTACGTTTCGCACCATTGAGGCTACTCGTCGTCACTGGTCTTGGTTCAGGCATTACAGGTGGCTTATTTGTTACTTGTTTCTTAATTATGCATTTTATTTTAAGTACAACTTATATTTTATCCAACCGATAAAAATATTAAATTGTTTTTAAAAATCAATTTGGCCAGTGTTTTAGTTCGGTGAAGTGAAGTTACATAGCTATAGCTTAGCTTTTTTAGACTTTTCTGAATGATTACTGTCTTGGTATTAGGAATGAGAAAGAACAGTCAAACAAATGTTTATTGAAGTATATATTAATATTACTGATGAAGCACCATCTATTTTTATACATATTTGCGTAATACATTTTAAGTAAAATCTAATTAATCGTAAAAACAAGGATGACACCTGCGGTAATGGCTGGGTGTGCGAACATCGATGGCGCCAAATCTATCAAATGGTTGGCTTTAGAAACGCGGTGAGAAACACTACCGTGAAACACTGGTGGGACAATGGCAGCTGTCAGATTGCTTTCAGCAGAGGTGACAAGGGATTTATCGTTTTCAATGCCGATCCATTCGCCCTAAACGTGACGTTAGAGGTGAGCTTTTATTTAATCTTTGTGGATATTATACGCAAGGTTTGTAGTGAAGTTTATCTTTGTTTTTCACTCATGTTGACTGTTAACTCATGTATAAATTTCATGAGCTTACCTTTTTTTGTTGAATTGAGTAATTTGTATTGAATGTGAATTAACGCTTTAAGATTTAAGATAAAGCAAAAGAAGTATGTACTTGTTATCTTATATATATATATATATATATATATATATATATATATATATATATATATATATATATATATATATATATATATATATAAATTACGTGTCACGTTGTTTGTCCGCGATGGACTCCTAAACTACTTAACAAATTTTAAAATTTTAATCAAATTTGCACACCGTGTGCAGTTTGGCCCGATTTGAGAGATAGGGTAGTTTTTTCCCATGAGAATTTTTTTTGCGAATTTAAGTATTTTTAATAGGAAATGATAAAGGGTCGTCGAAAAGGGCAGAACAATGTCTGCCTGGCAAGCCAGTTTAGTATAAAATATATACAAGAAACTTACTGTAATTTAAAAAAGGAATATAATTAGAACAGAAGAACTTAGGTAGTCCAAAATTAAAAGTACAGAGTAGATATATTGAAATGGGATAGGATAGGATAAGAATGGACACAATAAAACATCCATTAAAACACGTAAGAAAGAAAATTACTAAAAAGACAGACGGTGTGATATAGTCTATAGTATATCCCTATAAGCAATTTCTTCCAGACATCCGTAACCAATACCTACACTGCAGCACACCGGCCATCACCAGCCTGCGTTACCAGCATTATGCAGTTTAGAAAAAGGTAAGTGAGGGTAACATGGTCACATTAAGCTTTGCCGCCCTATAAACTCAAAACTAGGAAGAAGACAGAGATAAAAACACAAAGTCGCATATTATAACTAATTAATTGTAAAATAGTAAATAAGCTTTGGCAATAATTAAGAAGACTTTGAAAAATTTACATAAAACAGCTAATAATCATATTTACTATAATCTCTACGGTGGAAATGATAAAGCAAAGAGGATAAAGCAGCACCTTTTTGACCTTTTATTATTTGATTTTGAATTATAAAGAACTACTGTATCACAGAGTTATCTATGCAAACAAGGCTCTAGTTTTTGAGTTATAAGAAAGTGATCACATTAACCCGATGACCATATTACCCTCACGTACGCTAGATATTCCGTAAATAGCCAATCATCAGACCCTCTTTCGTTTATTAACAAGCTGCACCAAGTGGAGGTGAAAGTCGCATTTAGAAAATAAGATTGTTACGTAGACCTTTCCAACCTAACATTCATAAGTAAACACATTTTTAGACTGGTTTACCGAAAGGGGAGTACTGTGATGTAATAACCGGAAAAAGACGAGGAAATAGATGCACTGGTAAGAAAATACGAGTAAGTGAAAATGGTCTTGCCCATATTTTTATCCGGAATGACGCTGAAGATATGCACATAGCGATTCACGTTGGGATAGAGGTAATCAGTTTTGATATTTTATGTTTTGTATATTTAAAAGAATCTTAATTATAGAAGGCTGTAAATAATGTAATTGAATCGACAAACGTGCTTATAGTGTACCTGCAGCTAACTTTAAATAACGAATGCTACGGATGAGTTGTCATCTCCAAGGAACATTGAATGCCTCACAGCCTTAGCAGGGATGTAATGAACAAAGCAGTGCATGCACTACTGATTAATGGACTATATCTATTACCTATATATTATATAAATTAGGAGTCCTACTCCTAGATGAATTCAGATGCTTACTATATGGTGGAGCTTCCTTTTGCACCATTGAAGTAATATGTACTTACGTACTAGAACAGCTATCTCAAACAAAAAATGTGCGCTACTCTGTGTTCGCGCGGTTGGTTTTTTATCATATAATAAACATAGGTAGAATGATCCGTAGGTAATAGTAGATTGTATTGTTAAATAGTTAAATTATATTGAGAACAATATTTAAATTTTGTCATTTATTTTATATATTATATTTGCTTATTTAATATAAAACTACATAATATTATATCACAATTACATTTAATTATATTTTTATCTGAATATTTTAAAAGGTATTACCGATGTCAAATATAAAAAAACATACTAAATGTATGTTTAACAAAACTTATTAACAGAACATTTAAATTACAAATATATTTATTTAAATTATAATGAGTTCATAAATGCCGGGCACGGGAGAGTTAAAAATGGACGAATTTATTCCACTTTGACTTTGAAGTGGAAACCTAAAAATAAAATAAAAGAATAATAAGAGGATTTAAACCGATTTATGCAGAATTAAACACGAAAAATTTAGCCTAATTATAATAACTTATATGTGTTTCTACAAAAAAAATATGTATAATAATAATATATTCGTCGTATACTTAAGTACCCACAGAAATGTCGCATCTGAACATATTAATTTCATAATCTATTCCATGACACGAGATGGCGTCTTAGGAATAATTTGTTTTATTATTCATTTATAATACTTTTTTTTATTGATTAAGTACCTTGTTAACCGATGTTAAAGTAATTCCTTGGTTTTTACTGACATTTCTTGAATTATTTGTGCAATATCTAAGTACACACGACGGCATATTTTTATCAAGAGTTTTTTTTAAAATCAACACAACACGTGACAAATCTACAAGCGCCCAGTGAGTGACTGATTAAAGTGCGGTGTATACACCGCAGTTGAGTGGAACAGAGTAGCTGAATGCAGTGTCGCCTCTAGTACGTAGTACATAATAGCTCAATGTTTTGCACTTTAGAGACCTAGTTTAATTACGGGTTGTGACGTGATGCGTTCTATCAGTTATTTAAAATTTATCACAGGTTTATCAAAGACCAATCTAAGAAGTGGGCTCTGGGAGAGGCCTGGGTCCAGCTGTGAACGAAACACGCTGATGATGATAATGATGATTATGATAGTAATAGGCTTCTGCAGCTATTTGTTCTACTATCAGGCATTGATTATAAGTTGTGGGTGCTCTGTTAGATCGTGGTCACTGCAATGTTATATAAATATAAAAGTTAAATTTAACATAGATATCAATATAGAGGGCTATGCTCGAAGTTTCTCGGCGTGATAAACTTGGAAATGAGGATATCCGCAGTAGAACCAGAGTGACTGACATAGCCCAACGGATTAGTAAGCTGAAGTGGCAATGGGCCGGCCATATAGCTCGAAGAACCGACAACCGATGGGGAAAAAAGGTTCTCGAGTGGCAGCCTCGTACCGGTAGGGGCAGTTGTAAGGCGACCCCCACTAGATGGAGTGACGACCTGATAATACATGCAGGAAGTCGATGGATGCAGGTGGCTTAGGACCGTGCTTTGTGGCATACCTTGGGGGAGGCCGATGTTCAGCAGAGGAATTGTAAAGGGCTTTAATGATGATAATGATGATGATGCAATATTTTAAACTTATTTAAAATTTCGTTTTCGTTTCAGTCGAAGATATAAGAAAAGGGAGTTTTAAGATAAAAATAATTATCAGATATTTTAATAAGGCTAATTGGGCGACTTTTATTTTAATTACACAATGAAGCTACCTTACCAAGGCACAGCATTTTTAATCATCGTCGGCTCTAATAAATCAATTTGTAAAATAAGTAAGCTGTATTTTTGAGCCCAAATTCAAATAAAGATCAACCCATGTTCTAGACTTTATTAACCCTTTATCAAAGTAATTGTCATTTCTTTAAAATATTGAAAGTAACAAGAGATTCTAATACAGTTCCTTTAATCTTGATTTTCAGACATTTTACGAAACATGAGAAAATCTATTAGTATCTTAATTGATAGAAACACGACGACATTTTCTTGTTTCTAAAGAAATTGTTTCAAAATTCAATTATACATAAAATTAGTTTTGAAATTCTGACAAATGATGATAATTTTGTGTGTGAATTTTTTAATAAGAATGGCCTCGTCAATAATAAATATTAATTTGAGAATATAATTACATGGCACCTATAAGTGCCAGTTTGACCGTGTGTTGACGATGTAAGAACATCAACTACCTCATATCATCCCGTGGGTGTCGTAATAGTCAAATGATGATAGAAATCCCAATTATTTGACTACAGTAGTGCTACTATTCTCGCAAACAAAGTTTTATATATATATATATATATATATATATATATATATATATATATATATATATATATGTACATATATATTTGCTAGAATATATAATTTAATATACACATGGAACAGTATTCCATGTGAGGTCGAACCTGTGCCTTGTAAAGTTGCAAGTGTGCCGGCATGAAATACTGTCACAAAATGTCGACGCCAAGGAATCCGATACTGGCTGAGGCAACAAGGGGAGTGCCTTGAAACTAAGAAGATACGACAAAGGCGTTCTTTTTAATGGTTAACGCGCAACCTTGTGTCTTCTTCTCTATCACCCTTATTCTATTAAAAAAAATACTAACAAATTCAAATTCACTTTGACTCAATGACTGTTGTTTGTTCCGATGTTTTTATACCGATTTACCGATTTAAACCATATTCAGAGGATAGCTGGAGTTTTGTGCTGAAAAGACTTGGAAGATGATAGTTATTCAGCATTCGTTTTTGTGTGAACATTACTAAAACCGTTTTATTTGGGTTGACGGTTAAGTCATATTCCCTGCACCATCTCTCCACTATACGGAGAGCCGCTTGGATCAGGTCGCACACTATGCTTGCTGTCTTTCCCGAGACCAGTATTGTCAGGTCATCAGCATAACCTACTGTATAGAAGTGATTAGTATTTAATTTGCTGATGAGTTCATTAATGACCATATTCCACAGGAGAGGTGAGAGAACCCCACCCTGCGGGCAGCCTTTCTTAATTAGGATTGGTTGAGATTCACCAGCAATCTTTATTATTCGTGTACTGAGCATGCAAACTATCCAGTCGATCAGTGCCGGTTCAACTTTATGTCTACTGAGTGCACCTTTTATGCTGGAGAAGTTCGTTCTGTCAAAAGCACCTTCTATATCTATGAAGGAACCTAGACATATTTCACTGTTTTGGATGGCCTCTTCAATCTTTGTAATTACCTGATGAAGTGCCGATTCTGTTGATTTGCCTAGACTGTAGGCGTGTTGCTTGTCATGTAGTGGTAAGTTCATTAGCGCCGACCCCCTTAATTCCCTTTCACACATCCTCTCCATTGTCTTTAGGAGAAAGGATGTGAGGCTAATGGGCCTGTAGGATTTAGGGTCAGTGTAATCGCTCTTACCTGGTTTGGGTATAAATGTGACTTTCACTTCTCTCCATCCCCTAGGAACATATTTAAGAGCCAGACAGGCTCTCATTATGGCAACAAGTCTGACTATTAGGGCTTTACCCCCCCACTGTACGAGTGCCGGGAATATGCCGTCAGGTCCTGCCGCCTTATAGGGGAGGAAACTGTGAATGGTCCAATGAATTTTATCCATCGTTACCACTCTCTGTGCTAAATTCCAGTCTTCTACTGTTGGTGTCGGTATGTCGTCATACCGGTTTGACTCCTGGGTTACGCAGCAACCTGGGAAGTGCGTTTCAATTAGGATGCGTTGGGCTTCATCCGGCGATGTTGAGTAGCTACCGTCGGGTTTCTTTAGAGACATGGATCCCGACGTGTTCTGTTTAGCTAGAATATTCCTTATTCTATTTGCTTGTTCGCGGGTTTCTATGTTGCCACAGAATTTACGCCACCCAGTCGAGCGTCGATACCTGATACATTTTTTGTATTCAGACTTAGCTTTCTTATATAGTAGCCAGTCTTCATCCATTGAGGTATTCATGGCCCTATTTAGGGCTTTTCTTACCTTCTTACGTTTCCTATCGAGTTCTTCACCCCACCACTGTTGCTTTACCTCGGCATGCCTTGGTGGAGTGATTTTATGAAAATAGTAACAGGAAACCAGAAGAATGGAGAGGAGGAGAGCCTGTATAAAAAAAGATGCGATGTCACCCCTGAGGACTAAGATTTATATTCTGAGGTAGCTTGTTAAATATTTTAGTTGCCATATAATACAGATTTTACTATGTACATGTTATATGTTTGTTGTAGTATATAATACCTATGCTAATAAGGAGTTTTTACTGAGTCAGATTCGTAATTTATAGGTTGAATACAGACAATTTTTTCAGATTTTTTTTCTAGTTTTATTTAAGGAGATATATAATATAGTAAAACCTATAAAGAGTGTGGTTTGCAGGATGATGCGGTGACCAGGATTAAGAAAAGAATGCTTCGGTGGTTTGGTCATGTAGAAAGAATGAATGAGGAAAGACTGACAAAGCAAATATATGTTGCAGAAGTGAATAAAAGAGTCGGAAAGGGACGTCCTAGGCGGAAGTTTGTCGACCAAATTGGCGATGTCTTAAAAATGGGCCAAATTAAGAGTACTCTCAACAGACGAGTATGTATGCGTAGGTATATGGATGTGGAAGAGGCGAGAGAGGTATATCAGGATAGTGTTAAATGGAAGTCTGTAGTCTCTGCCTACCCCCCTGGGTGACAGGCGTGAGTGTTTATGTATGTATTATTGTATAGAAATTTGTAAGCTAAGGCTTATAAATTCAAAGTCAAACTTTGTAAGTGTTAGTGACCAGAAAAGTATCATAACATATCAAAACAAAAACGTGTTTGCGTGTTTGATTTCGTAAATTCCTATTACCGTAGTAAACGCGAATGCCATAGTTTTTTAGCTTTACTTAAAGTCAATCAAGTAATGGGATCTAAAGTTATTTTATAAGAATAACAAAATATCTTAAGTATATGAGTTAACATTTACGTACTATTTATTTAATATTAGTACAAATCCGATAGTTTGTAAGGCGTAACATTATCTGTTTCGGTACATATCGTTAGAAAAAATACATAATCATAGAGAAAACATTAAATACTGCTTAGAAGATATATCTCAAATATATATCGCTTATAAATTATATTATTTAGTATTTGTACATTGTTTGGTACAAAAAAAATTACAATGATTTTCCAATGGCCACAAAACGCCAATATGAAACAGTTTTTCGTATAAAATATCATATTTCAAGCCAAAAGGGATCAATTTTCTTTATGCTGTATGCATATAATCTATATGTAAGAACGTGCTAATCCTTATTGAGTCGAATCAGCTGACCATACAATCAAAGGATCTCTAGAAAACGGTATACCTAGTTACCATTTAGGTATAAATGAAAAGATTGGACTTAAAAGGCAAAAATGGATGAGCTGACAGAGATGATACAATTGCAATTTTTGATTTGCGAAGAGTTTTGAATTCATGAAGGTAGGAATTCAGCACAACGAAAACGTCAATTCTATGCGTTTGTAAAAAAAGAAACATAAGAAATAAAGTTACCTATCTAAACAAATTTACAACATTATTTTTAAATTTATTTTAGTGAAAAATATCAATTGATTTGTGCAGTCTGATATGATTATCTGTTGGGTATCGTAAAATGAGATAAAGAGAAATGAAACAGGAGAGTGTAAGCAGCATCTTCCTGATAGCTAATTAAAATAATAAAAGAACTGCGGTCGTTATTCCGCCAGCCGTGCGTGGTACTAGATAATTGGCAGAAATATGGATAATTGGTGATATGATAAGAGGTTCATATGATTCACTTTTACTAGAAAATACACTTTTTAAGGTATAATTTTGAACTTTTGTAAAATTGTGATGAAGTGAAAGAAGTGTAACCATACATTTGGAGAACGCGGAAATGCCATAAGCATACCATCAGCTCATTCCAATAAGCAAAGCTTTATAATCAAATATTATGAGTTTTTCTAAACCTGGATAACAGTGGAAACAGCCCAATCTATTACCATCCTTTTTGGATCCCTGTTATTGCGACTGTGAAAACGTTTAGGACAACTGATGATAATGCGGTTGAAGAGAATAGACTTTTATAAATTTTATCCGTTTTTTAACAATGATTTAAATTTATTACGAAACTAAATTATGACTATTCTTACTTTTCTTGAAGCCTACTAAAAAAGATATGTATGAATTAAAAGCGTAATAAGAAAAAGTAAAAAGAAAAGCGGACGCATTGATCGGATTTGTAGTCGAAATCATAGTTCACACGTACACGTAACACGCTAACGGTATTGACCGTTAATTATTGAATTTACCTTGAGCTCGCCGGTGAAGGAAAAATTCTTGAAGAACCATTAAGTCAAAAACAAAAAACATCACAATATGCCAGAAATTGATAAAAAATAATAATAATAGGGTTATTTATTTTAATTTGACCTTATCAGCTCTTTATAGATGTAATCGTTTGAATAAATTTATGTTTTTTGTCATTATCTTGGATTATGTTGGTCCGGTGATAATTTTATTATCGAAAAAGAAACTGAGATTTTATCAACCACTATATAAATTGTATCTCTGTGGGAGGCATCAGAAAAGTTGCTAGACGAGGTAAGTAATAACTTCATATCCTCATAAATTCTGTGAATTATCATTATAAGGTGTTCTATTCATACACACCACCATCTTAATAAATGCGTGTTTTGTTAGATACGTCTATAATTTTGTTCAAAAATATATAGCAAAGAGTGATTAGTAGTAACCTGACTGCTATACTTGTAGATTTTAAGTTTTTAGTCACCGCAGAGACAACATTTATGTAAAATTCTAGATCTCTTTCATATTTATTATCCTAGTTCTTTTTTTATAGGATAGGATGACAAACGAGCTCACAGTCCACCTAATGGTAAGGGTTTGCTGTGGCCCATAGACATCTACATCTATCCTAGCGTTGTCACCCGTGGGGACTAAGTTAGAATGCCTCGTTTCCAGTAGAAACGGCCTCCGGTTCTCTACACACCGTACAAAACACAGCAGCATTAAGCTACTATTTTACTCTAGTATTCTGTGAGAGCGTGGTCCTTCCCCGGTCGAGCCGATCCATTCGTGCTACAACTATACTACTAATATAGTTGCAGTATGGCTCTACTACGTATAAAAGTAATAACTTCACTTCAGTTCTACTTCAGATATCATTGTTACGGATCCTACCACGCAGAGAAACTTTGGAAATACCTCCCATCGCTGTTAAGTGATTTTAAATATTTTATTTTTTACATAATTAATTTTTAATTTTAACTATTTGTAATGTCAGTCTTTTACAGAATAAGCAAAAACACGATTGATTTAAAAATTTATCAACAGGTGCACTGAATTTGTTTTGTCTTACATAGGATGATCCGTTTCATTCTGCTGCTCGCGGCTGCGGCCTTGGCCGTAGCTCAGAAGGACCCCCACTATGCCTCGGGGCGTTCAACAATGGTACATCTCTTCGAATGGAAGTGGGATGATATCGCTGCCGAATGTGAAAGGTTCCTTGGACCTAGAGGATTTGGTGGGATCCAGGTAAGTCGAAAATAGCAATGTGACACTTTGTATTAAGAGAAGGAAATTTTACTAAGCTTATTTAAGAAATGTTCCAAGAAAACCTAAGAAAATACAGTAAAATTAATTGCAATAAGATAAATTTAAAAATTGGTTATATTGTAACTTTATTTTGAGTTCTGAGAATACATGATACATAACAAATAACTTATATACAATTTTAGGAGTATTCTTAGTTTTAAGTTTGAAAAACGTTATCTCCACACTAAGATTTTCTCCTGTATCGTGGGGGGAGTTCATAATATGACACAACGATAAACATCCAGACCCGGAACAATTACTTTTAGGCCATACAAAAACTTGTTCCGTGCGGGATTCGAACCCGCGGCCCTTAGCGCTGTAACTCGTTGCTAAGCCACTGCGCCACGGAGCCGTTAAGCCCAGTAGATGATCCTATCTATCCTCCATCCTCCATTAAAAATGAATTTTATTGCAACCAATTGCTATTTATTTTAATTCCATAAAGCTCGCAGAATTTGTTTTAAATCCAAAACATTGACTTTTCATCATTAATTTCAATATAATTATATAATTTCTTATCTGTATATATATATTATTAATAAATAATTATTAATAAATATACAATTTCATCATTAAAGTTAAACATATAAGTTGCATTTAAGTATAATAGAATGCTGCGATTTAAATATTGCAGTTGAGTATCTAAGGTTAAACTGTTCAGAGAATTAATGTGATGCCAGAAGGAAAATTACTAAGAAGATTAATTAAATGAAAATGACTCATTAACTATTCAATTAAGTATTCAATTATTTTATCATAATTCGGACGGGATATGGGGGCGGGGTAAATGATTACAATCTATTAGTATGTGCAGTGCAAAAATTGATATTAAAAAATAATTTGGAAATTACAGGCAGTTTACAGCATAATTATGAAATAAAAATATTTTTATGAATTTAATGCGTTTAATTATGACTTACGTAAAAAGACAGATCGTTCAAATATTGGCGGTACACTCAAACGACATGACTGAATAAATTTAATATAATATTATATTTAGACCACTAAAATAAGTAATAGTCCTAGTGAGAATACAAATTCATAATGATAAAATTATTGTATTATTATCGGTCTTAAGACTGCAAAATTTAAGAAAATTAAAACATCTGAAATGGGGTGAAAACTATAACATAATCCGTTTTATTCATCTACATAAATAAAGTGCTTGTCAGTATGTAAGCAATATGTAAAAAATGTGCGCTACTCTGTGTTCGCGCGGTTAGTTTTTTATTATAGAATAAACATAGGCAGAATGATCAGCAGGTAATAATAGATTGTATTGTTAAATAGGTAGATTATATCGAGTACAATTTTTAAATTTGATCATTTACTTAATATTATATTTACTTATTTAATATTAGGTAATATTATATCACAATTACATTTTAATGATATTTTTATCCGAATATTTTAAAAGGTAACTATGTCAAATATAAAAAAGCATACTTAATTTATCTTTAACATTTAAATTACAAATATATTTATTTAAATTTGAATAAGAGACGTTCGTAAATGCTGGGCACGCGAGAGTTAAAAATGAATGAATTTATTCCACTTTGAATTTGTCGTGGAAACCTAAAAATATAATAAAAGAATAATGAGCAGTTTTAAATATAAAAAATTAGCTTAATTATGATAACTTATATATGTTTCTACAAATAAAATTGTGCATAATAATATATTCGTCCTATACTTAAGTATCCACAGAAATGTCGCATCTGTACAAATTAATTTTATGACCTATACTCGATGACATAAGATGGCGACTTAGGAACAATTTGTTTTATTATTAATCTATATTACTTTTTTATTGATTAAGTATCTTATTAACCGATAAAAATTACTAGCTAACATTACTTGAATTATTTGTGCAATATCTAAAAACACACCAAGGCATATTTTATCGAGATTTTTTTTAATATAATTAATCAACGAGTGTCAACTCACTAGCGCTTAGCGAGTGACTGAGTAAGGTGCGGCGCCAACGCCGCAACTGAATGGTACAGCGTAAGTAGATGCAGTGTCTCCTCTACTACGTAGCACATAATAGTTCAATGCCTGTCAGTAATATTGAAGTAACTGGCTTCTATTGAGCTCAGAAGGTTGTTTGCGTGCTATATTTGTCTGTCTGTCTGTCTATTCGGGCTAATCTTTGGAAAGGCTGAACCGATTGTGATGAAACATTAAGAACAAATAGAGAACAATACCAAGAGGGATCTCAGCTCGTATATTTGATTCGAAAAAATTTAAGATATTTTTTTTAAACATGAAAAATTTATGAAACCTTTGATGCACACATGCGAAGCTGGGGCGGGTCGCTAGTACATTAATATTTTCATTCATACAAAATTCTGTTACATTAGTTTTGATTTTCTTTTAAACATGAAACATTTATAAAGCCTTTGACACACACATGCGAAGCTGGGGCGGGTCGCTAGTACATTAATATTTTCATTCATACAAAATTCTGTTACACTAGTTTTAATTTTTTTTAACATGAAACATTTATAAAGCCTTTGATATACACATGCGAAGCTGGGGCGGGTCGCTAGTACATTAATATTTTCATTCATACAAAATTCTGTTACACTAGTTTTAATTTTCTTTTAAACATGAAACATTTTTAAATCCTTTGACACACACATGCGAAGCTGGGGCGGGTCGTTAGTACATTAATATTTTCATATACAAAATTCTGTTACACTAGTTTTAATTTTTTTAACATGAAACATTTATAAAGCCTTTGATATACACATGCGAAGCTGGGGCGGGTCGCTAGTACATTAATATTTTCATTCATACAAAATTCTGTTACATTAGTTTTGATTTTCTTTTAAACATGAAACATTTATAAAGCCTTTGACACACACATGCGAAGCTGGGGCGGGTCGCTAGTACATTAATATTTTCATTCATACAAAATTCTGTTACACTAGTTTTAATTTTTTTAACATGAAACATTTATAAAGCCTTTGATATACACATGCGAAGCTGGGGCGGGTCGCTAGTACATTAATATTTTCATTCATACAAAATTCTGTTACACTAGTTTTAATTTTCTTTTAAACATGAAACATTTTTAAAGCCTTTGACACACACATGCGAAGCTGGGGCGGGTCGTTAGTACATTAATATTTTCATATACAAAATTCTGTTACACTAGTTTTAATTTTTTTTAACATGAAACATTTATAAAGCCTTTGATATACACATGCGAAGCTGGGGCGGGTCATTAGTACATTAATATTTTCATTCATACAAAATTCTGTTACACTAGTTTTAATTCGAAATTAAATAGGTATGAAACAAAACGAAAGTTATGCTAACTAAAAAAGTTTAAATTTAGGAAGTCAATACATTAGAAGTATTAGATTAGAAGGGTTTAAATTTAGAAGAATATACTTTTTTATAGAATAAGAGTGTCAAACGAGTAGACAGTCCACTTGATGGTGAGTGGATGCCTTGGCTCATAGACACCTACATTTATCCTCGATTAAGAGCCGATCCTCATTTGCCGTTCACAGTTCGTTTTCGGTCCGATATTGGTTTGATTTATTATATTATTGGAATGGGATTCCAGCGAAACTTGGCTGTTACTGATAGTATGAATGCACACATACTTTTTCACTTGACAATAATTTATCAGACCGAGATTGGACCGAGAACGAACTGTGAACGGCATTATAATGAGGATCGGCCCTAAGAATCTAAATGCAGATACATTATCACCCCTGAGGTCTAAGATGGAATGCCTCGATTCCAGTAAAAAGTGTCAGCGGTTCTCTACACTCGCTATACGAAACACAGCAGGCTTAAGCTGCTATTTGACGCTGGTATTCTGTGAGAGCGTAGTCCTACCCCGGTCGAGCCGACATATTATGCCATAACTAAAAAAAAAATATTTCTTAAAAATACACTCCGTGTGTACGCGCATAAATAAGATTGTGCAGTATATCGGATAAGCGAACAACTGAAGACAACAATCACGTTTTTACTACGCTGCTCCTGGTAAACAATACCAAAAACTACCTTCTCCACAAAAAAAAATAGTTTAAGAGATACATATTATAGATTTTATATAAATTTTTTATGCCAAATTTTTTTTTACTTTTATTCTAATAATTTGTAGCACAAATGTTTCAAAGTACTTTATAAGTATTTAGTTTAAGTAAAAGTTAATTCCAATGTCATTTAGATAATAAGCTTAAGTAAATTAATGTATAATTAAGAGCAAACTGTGCAATGCCAAGACAAACAATAGATGTTTAATGGCACGAAGAAATTGATTTTGTAATTAAAACTGTTTCTTTGTTGAATAAATAAAAAAAAACTATAATAGAGGCAGCGTAGCTCTACCACGTAAAATTAATATACTGGTGTTATGTATTCAAGATTAAATTAAGTGATTAATTTTAGTTAATATTCAAAAATATTCAATTAATAATATAGACTAGCTATTCATTGGACATTTATGTTCAAACTAATAATCCTAAATATTTTTTTTATTCTCAGCTTGCTTCGTGGTGATTTCCTTCATTGCCGAGCACGAGGTAAATCAGCAATTAAAATAATTATTACCAATATAACTGGAGCTAGCGGCGATTGAAACTGTGAAATCTACGGTGAGGGCTAGCCTCTGTGCTACCCCGACTATTTAATATTATTTAAAAATATTATTCTTCGGTAAAATGTTACTTAATTTTATTTGGTTATGTGATTATCGTTATGCAAGCCTAGTACGTGATAAGTATGTCAAGGCTGTATATGTGAGAAGTATGCGATTGTTTGTATATGGTAGAGTCATGCTGCAGATACTCATGTATTATGGTTGTAGCCGAATGTTTATTCTCGAGTGGGGAAGGACCAGACCAGACACTCATAGAATACCAGCCTAAAATAGCAATTTAATGCTGCTGTGTTTTGTATGGTGAGTGTAAAGAACCTGAGACTCTTTTTACTGAAAATGAGGCATTGCATCTTAGTTCTAACAACCCCAAAATGTATTTGTATTTTGATTCTTAATCGCGGATAGATGAAGATGTCTATGGGGTAGAGTATCCACTTACTATCGGGTGGACTGTGTGCTAATTTGTCACCCTTATTCTATAAAAAATCCGATAATTATATTTAATTATTTATATATCTACATAAATAAGAACTTTGAGTGTAACAGTGCAAGTTGCACTAAAACTTTTATAATAATCTTTTGTTATATTTGTTAATATTTTTAAACGTTTATTTGCAGATTTCGCCACCCAACGAAAATTTGGTAATTTGGTCACAGAATCGTCCATGGTGGGAGAGGTATCAACCGATTTCCTATAAATTGGTTACCCGTTCTGGAAATGAGCAGCAGTTTGCCAACATGGTTCAGCGATGTAACAATGCAGGTGTAAGGTAATGAAATTACTCTCAAAATGGCTGTCGGGTTTTTTTAAAAACCAATATCGATTTACGACAAAAAAAGAAGAAAACCTCCTTCTTAGTTAGAACTATAATACTTTGTTTTTAGATCAAAGTTTAAACGTTACCATAAGAAAAATAAATCTATAAGTGGAAGCTACATTGTACCGTTCAGAATAACACTCTGAAATAGTATTTCATTTTGTTGTTAAAGTCTTACATATCAATAATTATAAATCGCTCACGTGGTATTCTTCCACTGTGTTTTCTTTCAAACATTGATATTATATTGTGTAACAATTATATACTTGATTTTGAGATGCACTAAATGTAACTATATTACGTCTCGGTTACAATTCTTACTACTTCTAATACTATTGGGCATATGAACGGAATCCGAGCGCAAAATCGAAACAATAACAATAATCATTTTGTTATCGTTCGAAAGTTCTCAGAAAGTAGAAAGATAATTTAAAATGTAAAACAACATAAAGCGATTTTGAAATGGTAGAGGATAGGAAACGAAGGAAAGAAAATTGTAATTCCGAAGAAAATGTGAGCACAAAAGTTGAGAGTAATAAACGAGAATACTCTATCAATTTACCATTCTCATTTCTATATTAATTCATTCAATTATATTATAAGTAAAAAGGTGTAGATAGGTTACTTATTAAAGACAATATTATTATTGTATTGTGTATGGTATTTCATGAAAGACAAATCATAAAAATCGGTTCACTGTATCAGTGTTAAGAATTTATGTTCGATATTATTGGAGAGATTTTCCACATTCTCTCAGAGCCTCGAACACCAATTTACAATAGTGTATATGTAGTGTGCATGTAAGTATAATAAAGGTAATATAATTTCTATACCAAATATCACCATAACTTGTAACTTTTTTCATAAAAATATAAACCATATTTTTTTGGTTTTATTAAGGTCGATATCACGCTCTCAAGTGGCGTTTCCAATCATGTTCCTCACGTATAAAGACTTTTCAAGATGTCCACTTTACCTACCGGTTTTTGTTTACCGATCCCTATTGTTATGAAATCTTAAAGAACGAGATTATTTTATATAAAATATGTTATAAAACCATGTGCAGGCTCAGTCTGTCTAAATATATATATATATATATATATATATATATATATATATATATATATATATATATATATTACTAATTTTTATCATTATCGCGGTCGTTTTCGATCTATTATAATTTTGTAATATTTTATAAATTTAAAATATTTAGTATAATATACTTAAAATTTACATATTTAATTTTAAAAAATTGAATAAATATTAGAAAAAAGTATAAGTAATATTTTAAAATTATTCTAAACATCACAAGAAATGCGAAAATTCGTAATATACTGATGGATGATTTCCGTTGATCGTGTATTAGATTGAGTCGAGGGTCTTACCTCTGATACAATAATAAACTCGTAATTTATTTTTTCATCCAATACATACTAGAAAGTAGTACAGTAGGAAAGTAAGTAAATTAAACCCTCCAACATTGAGTTACAACGTTAGCTACTGAAACCTTGTTACTAGATGGGTCTCTAAAGACTTCATCGTTCCCCGAGATCAAATTAGCTAATAAAAATAAACATTGCTTTACCGATAACATTGTAAAGGATACAATAATATGGCTTGGTAGGATACGAATTAAAATACAAATTAGAAGAAATAGGTCTGCTAAAAAGCAAAAGTATATTTGGTTAAAACAAATTAATAATCAGATATTTTTTTGCACAAATCTAAAATCCTCTTCTTCGTCAGATAGACCTATAGCATCATAAGTTTTTTACAAATTTATGTCTATTTATGTCTCGCGAAAGTACAACACTTTTGCTGTCCGCATTTTCGTCCTCGTTCTTGCATTTTTCATAGTCAATTCTTACGACACATACTACTGTTTGTGATATATTATATGTGTGTGATTTATATACATTACATGAAAACATAAAGGCTAAATTAAAGCTTATTCTTTAAAAAAGATAAATATTTTTTAAAGAAAAAGCGTGACAAGCGAGCACATACTTCACCGACCGTAAGTGACATCAAAGTAGACATCTACAATTCAATTAAGTATCAAAATGCAGATGCGTTGTCACGCCTGAGGACTACGAAGGAATGCCTCGTTTCCAGTAATAGGGGTATCTTATATATGGATGACAACCTCTTCTCTAAATATTAAACTCTGCACCCTTCCTACTAAAAAACAAGGCTCATGCGACCGACTACGGCGTTATATCTATTCGAATATGAGACAAGAAAGTTTCACATCTATGTTTGTATCAAAAATAAAAGATTGATAAAGATAGACAAATTTTTTGTTTTCTGTAATTATTGAAATGATAAAGGTGGGTTGCTGAATATTTTTTATATTTTCACCAGAATCTATGTGGACGCCATCATTAACCACATGACGGGTACCTGGGGTGAGAATGTGGGCACAGGTGGCAGCACTGCTAACTTTAATGAGTGGCATTATCCTGGTGTGCCTTATGGAAGCAACGACTTCAATTGGCCGCATTGCGTCATTTCTGGCAATGATTATGGCTGCTGTCCCGACAGAGTAAGTTATATTTACTTTTTTTTTAAAGAATATTAACAGCGCTATAAATATTACTAATATTCCCCTTAACCACTCGTGTTAAGCTTAAATTGCTTGTGTTACGAGTGGTTCACGCCAGTAGTCGAATGGCGGATTCGAACCCATGACCTTTTTGAGTTCACGGTCCGCGCCCTGCTATTAGGCTACTGTCGCTTAAATGTAAAGTAACAATAATAAGTAGTAATAACTTTATCATAAGTCGTGTAGTGATGGTGTAAGCATATCCACCACCCCATACCGTCCCGTGGGTGTCGAATGAGGTGACAGAGGGAAATTGAAACAAGTAAAGGGGCGTCAGCAAATTCCTGATAACATGGAAAAATAACAAAAAACTGCGGTTGACAATTCACTCGCCAAGCGTGTTAACTATGGAAATACCCGTGTGAGGCAATCTATATATATAGGCCTATGATCGGTAGTGGACTTTTATCGGCTGTAATGAAATGGAATGGTCCTTAAAGCCGAGCACTAAAATGACCGCACCAGGCTCTATGGGAATTATAAGCCTGATATTGTGATGGTAGACCGGGCACAGTTAGGATATTTTTGGCAACCAAAATATCCTAACTGTGCCGGTTCAATATGACGAAAACCTCCTTTTCGATTTTTGGACACTTAATAGGCTTCCACTCTTTCTTTCTCTCTCTGGTACACCGTGTAAAGGCGGGGTAAGAAAATCTACTATTCCTGTGTCTTCCCGTGGGTGCGACAGAAATAAGCTGAAACAGGAGATGGGTAGCTTCTTCCTGATATCAACTCGAAATAATAAAAACTCCAGATACAACTAACCAAATAAAGTACCAGCCAAGCGTGGCAGCTATGGCAGATATTCCAAAGTAGTCAATCTATGCTGGAGGGCTTTGTTCAGCATTGGAATTTGATAAGCTGTAACGATGATGACGATAACTCCACTTTAAATCAGCGAAACAATGTTCTCTTTAGTGCATATTATTTTTGTTAATTCCAGTTTATAGATAAAGTTGTAACCCATATACCTTCCATTACTGGGTACAAGCCCCCGTAAAATACTGGAACTGTTATGAATCAATAAGTACGGCGTGCTGCTACAGTGTGTATTGTAATGTCATAGAAATAACTTAAACTTTAAATGTGTAGGTGTCCTCACGATGGTTTTCTTAATCACTACGCATGTGGTAAATCGGGGCACTTAAAAGTTCCATTAAAATTTTCATAGGTGTGTAATTTATGGCCGTGATTCTTAGCTTATGATATTGAATTGTAATATTTATAGTTTTTCATTATAACTACATCTTTGTATTATAATTTTTCACTATCAGTAATTAAGAATTTATACATCACATTAATTTAATTTCTTTTCATCTTTAATTCGTATACATCAAAGACGAGATAGTAAAATTTCTAAAATTTTCAATTAAAAGTAAGTAATTGCATTGATTAAAGATAGAGTGTAGTAGTTAGTTTCAAAACATCTGTTGATATACTTTCGGATCTCAAGGTTTTGTTAAACAAAGGGAGTGAAGGTATTGGTGATAAAAGGCAATCGCTTAATAAAAGCCTAACTATCTAATTCATGTAGAGAATGACTGTGCGAGTAAATTATTTCAACCCTTTAAAGTCAAATCAAAGTTAAAAGTTTTTATTTAATTAAGGCTTGTTTAAAGGTCTACACCGGTTCGCTTGTTAATACTTAAATGTCTTTGGCAAGAACAAGAACTTCTCGGTGAAGTACCGGGCAAGAAACTCAGCGATCTTATTTAAATATCATGTTACAATATTATTTACAACTTATTATAAAATCAATTTTATATCAAAAGTTTATAAATATTTTAAAAATATCAGCTTTAACTAACTTTAAATATCAGGCTTTAAAAAATATGGTTATCGGTTGCTAGTATACTTGCATTTGCAGAACAAGAGTGTTACATTCACTTAAATATTATATTGATCTATTTATAGAAGGATTTTTAAGGAAATTTCCTTAACAATTTTTTGAAATTGTTTTGCCCAATTATTGTACTATCTTTTGAGAGATAAAACTGAAATTTTACTTTTACACCTTGACCTGTTGTACAGAAGATAGACTTTTTTATTAATTTATATTTTCAGTATGCACATGAAGTTCTCTGAAATACACGACGACGGAAGTGTCAACGTTTTAGTCTCCTTAAAAAGGTCACATAGCGACGGGCTTAGTTATAGATTGCTTGCCCGTATCGCTTGCTTTTGCAAAATTAATATTGTTTCCAATCCAAATTGAAAATGATATAAGTACAAATAATAATAAAGCAAAACGCTTCCTCCGAACGCTAGATATATCCACAACGGATGGAAACCCGCAGTGCGTTTTATTGTTCGATGATGGAAAGGGGACGGGGGAATTAAATCGAGTAATGCCTGAACACACTTTCCTTGACATTTCCCTTAGTAGACCATACTACACCCACGGGATGAAATAAGGCCCTGAATATCATTCCGTTACGTAACGGTGAATTTAATCTTAGTACCAACTTTTGTATTGTTGAGGCAAAACGTAGTAACTTAACAGTTACATATGTATATATATGATGTATACAATTTAATATATTTTTTTAGGTCCGCAACTGTGAACTTTCCGGGTTAAAGGATTTAAATCAGGGTTCCGAATATGTTCGAACCCAGATTGTCAACTACATGAACCATCTCATCAATTTGGGTGTTGCTGGATTTAGGTAAAAATGAAACGTTTATTATTTAATAACTTAAGGAACAAATTTCAAATCGATTTAAATTGTTAATTATTTAGTTTACTAAATTCTAAGTTATTATTTCATATTATTAGAATTGACGCTGCAAAACACATGTGGCCCGGAGACCTTAGTGTTATCTACAACAGGTTAAACAACCTAAACACCAACCATGGTTTCCCATCTGGTGCTCGTCCGTACATATACCAAGAAGTCATCGATCTTGGTGGTGAAGCTATTCGCAGAGAAGAGTACACACCACTTGCTGCAGTTACAGAGTTTAAATTTGGAATGGAATTGAGTCGAGCTTTCCAAGGAAATAATCAGCTCAGATGGTTAACCAACTGGGGTCCTGCTTGGGGTCTTCTTGAAAGTGGTGACGCACTTACCTTTATCGATAACCACGATAACCAAAGAGGACACGGAGCAGGGGGAAATATTCTTACTTATAAACAATCTAAACGGTATAAAGGAGCTATTGCTTTCATGTTGGCACATCCATATGGGCAGCCTCAATTGATGAGCAGCTATGACTTCTGGGACACTGAGGCTGGACCACCAATGGATAGCTCGGGTAACATTGTATCCCCATCTATTAATTCTGTGAGTATTTTTTATTTTATAATATGATCTAATTTGTGTCACCTATTTTTCTTCTGTCCGTAAAATGTCAACGTAAAATTCCACTACTAGCTATGGGAGCTTCCTTTTGGTAAGGAGGATTTGGATTGATCGTCATGCATGGCTGGTGAATTGACGATAGAAGTATCAGACGTCTTACACCTTTTACGCTTCTGCCCATTGCCGGTCTTGATATTTTACCTATGAAGTAAGCGAGATGATTATACTGATATCTATTGGAAGCTACAAGAGACTTATCTCTTATCCTATAGTCAACGCATACGACACCATGGGACGAAATGAGTTGCGATTTGGTGGCAGTTTAAGAGGCACCTATATTTGTTTTTGTGTTAAATTTCATCAAGGACTGACTTAATATTTGTTTTTCGAAAGTAGATGGTAGGGCTCCATTTATGTCTAGGTTTGGGCTAATTTGACTGTTATTTTCGCTGAGTAGCACTACTGCTATGTTTTGATATGAAGTGAAAAGAGCCAGTGTAATTAGAAGCTGTGAAATACTTTAACCACCCATTGTAAGTCTCCACTAACTCGTGACTGGCGTAAGATTCGACGGAAAGAGACCAAAGCAGGAGATGCAGCAGTATCTTCCGGATAACAACTCAATAAAAAACAACGAGTGAAAATCAGATTGCATAGCGTGGCAGCCATGGTAAATATCACTCATATGAAGCAATTCATGGAGAACTATTCAGCAGAGGATTTTTGATGGGCTGAAATGAAGAAATGAATGATACTCGTATATTTCGTGTTAGATATCGTAGAGGTGATTATGCATCTTTGTTTTAATTTAGCAGCAGATGTCTACGGAATTCAGGAGACAATTACCGTCAAATAAAAAGTTAGCTCATTTGTTAAACAATTTATAACTATAAGGTATAATAATTTTGTTACGCGTAAATTGAAATAATGACTCAAATTTAAAATGGCTTTGTTTAATAAAAGTTCCTTAAGAAGCTATCGCAATTGAACATTGAATAATGGGTCACAACGATATCAGAAGGAAATGTCCTTAAGAAATATGTAAAATGTTAAGGAAGAACTTTTCTTAAGTAACTAAGTACAAATTACAGGACGGCACATGCGGCAACGGTTGGATTTGTGAACACCGATGGCGCCAGATTTTCCAGATGGTTGCGTTCAGAAATGTAGCTGGCAATACCGGTGTCAACGACTGGTGGGATAACGGTAGTAACCAAATTGCTTTCTGCCGCGGTGGCCAAGCTTTCATTGCTTTCAACAACGACAACTGGGATCTGAACCAAAACTTACAGGTAAGAAAATAATATCGTTCGCAATGAATTTTTGTAGGGATTTTTATTATTCATATAAAAATTTAATACGCACTGTATTATTTAAATAATTTATACAAATAGATGTACATTGCTGATAATTGCTCAAAGGCTTTCAAAACCGGGAGTATAGTTACGTCAGATTATTTTTAACTGGCGTTTGTCAACCCTATAAGGAATGAAGAAGTGAAGAAATTTTTGGAAAGGCCTATGTTCAGCAGTGGACATGTCTCTGATGATATGAGTGAATAAAAAAAAGTTTAAAATACGTCCAAGGTGCTTCTTATTTGTTTTTAACCTAATAGTTTTTGACTGTCTCGTTAGTCTAGTGGTTGTAGTAGTGCGACTGCTGATCATGACGTCCTGGGTTCGAAACCCGGGTCGGGCCAAAAAATCGATTGTCGAGTTTTACTGTCAAGAAATTCTCAGTAGTTGTCCGGAGTCAAAAAGTTGGCGGTGTCTCAGCCCTGTGCCTCGGAAAGCAAGTAAAGCCGTTGGTCCTGCGCCTGATCTCACTCCGGTCGTGTTGGTTTACCGTCCTATCGGATTATGAGAGTGAGGGAATACAGAGTGCGCCTGTGCATGCGCATACACTTGGGCACTATAGTCCTGTCCTGCGCCGATGGCTAGTCTCCGTTGAGGCTGGCCGCCGTGACCGAAATTCGGTCTAGAGGACATTATTATTATTATTATTATTATTAATAGTTTCTCATCATAATATAGACAATAAGCTTTTACCAAATTATCAAAACTTATTTTTTTAAATAATAAGATTAAAAAATAATTGCAGACCTGCCTGCCAGCTGGTTCATACTGTGACGTGATATCTGGTGAGAAGACGAACAACCAATGTACTGGCAAAACCATCAATGTTGGTAGCGATGGCCGTGCTAACATCTACATTGGTGCTAACGAGTACGACATGGTTCTTGCCATACACCGCGGTAGTGAGGTTAGTATAATACGATTTGAAAACTAATGTGTTTACAAAATACATGTAAATAACAATACTTCTATATTGTCGTTATCACGCATTTTAGAAGACCCTGCCAAATGATACTTGAAGATTATAATATAATTTAGTATATTTTAAAAGTTTTTAGCTTGAGCACGTTTAAACTTTTCCATACATTGCAACGCATTGGGATTTTTTAAAGCGTCTCATAAATATCGCAATAATAAGCAGCCAGTGCGTATTCATTACTTTCAAACCTTTGAATTTAATTGCCTGGCTTTAATTTTTTTACGACGATGCTTATAACGATAACTTGTCAATGTCAAAAAAATTAAAAATAGGTGTGTAATACCTTTAATGGAATGCCTTTTATTTTGAATAAAATGTCGTCTCACAAGCCTGCGTGCCTAGTGGTGCAAAGCATTCGAAAGTTCTGGAATTATAAAACTTAAATAAAAATAAGTATATAGAAGACAAAATAATTTAAATTAATTTTATTCAAATATAATATTTAAATTAAAGATGCTTTATAAAATTTTTTCACTAATCTTTGTTCCAAATCTTTTTTAATCATTAATAGTTTGTCTATTGTTTTGCCAAGATTCAAACCGATGGTTAAGTATAATGTAGTTATATGATTTGAATGGTAAAGGTTGTTTTATTTTAGAGGATAGCTAGCTAGTCTAAGAAATGCTTTTGTAGTCTTCTTAATATTTACTTATTTTATCTGTATTTAATTTTCTTTTATATAGAATAAGGGTGACATGACTACATAGTCCAACAGATTGTAAGCGCATGCTGTGAACCATAGACACCTACGTCTATACTTGATTAAAAATCAAACGTCACTTCTGAGGACTAAGATGGGATGTCTCGTTTCAAGTAAAAAGGATCTTCGGTTCTCTACAGCAATTTTAAACTGGCATTGTGTGCCTTTCTTTTTTATCTTAACCAAAAAGTTATCTTAATATAAATTAATCTTTGAATGTGTTTTCGTTTTCAGTCGAGGCTATAAAGGAGCAGAATTTAACCTAAACCTACATCCGGATCTGACCTGGAAAATTATTGTGATTAAATTTTTACATAAATTTGACTGATTCAAATATAATAATGTTACTATTGTATTTTTAATAAAAGCTTGGCTTATTTAAATATGTTTTTCTTTAAGTTACGACACATACTATATTCTACTATTATATGACTATAGAACATAGTAGTTCTTTTTTGTAATGGAGGCGTTTTACATACATACATTATTGATGGACAAACATTCAGTTCTGAAACAATTAATTGTAGTGCGAACAAATAATAATAATGTTCTTCAGATTCGGTCACTTAACGGTAATCTGTGCAAGGTGATAATGAGAATTCTCTATTTGCTTACTCTCCTAGCTTAATAGGACGGCAATCCAACGCCAATGGAAAGAAATCAGGCGTAGGACCAAAGGCTTTAGGTGCTTACCGAGGGGCATGGGTACAAAACGAACAGCTTCCTAACCCTGGACTAGATAGGGAGGCGAGGGGGGAGTGGTATATTTGCTAGTGTAGCCACGTTTTTTAGAAGGCAACCGCAGTATTTTATTACTAAAGATCTCTTATCAGGAAGAATTACTTTCCCTCTGCCACCTTTACATCCATGGTGTAAAAGGACAGATTGAAAGTAAATCAACGAACTCTCTTGTACCGCCACTATACAAAACTATACACATACATATTATATTTTTTATTCTTTTATCAGATAGTATATGTATCTGACCCATACAGATACATTGACTTTAACTTATTCATGAAATAGTCCATTTAAAAAAGAATTCCCTTTTTAAATGATTTATTTCAATTTGGTCTTATGATATACTCTCCAAGTATACGGAGAATGTTCTATGAACGATAGGCGGAACGATTATCGCAGTACCAGACAGCTTCCACCTTTCATATTGCTCCCCGTTGCGGGTCTGAATACTTACGCCGGATATAAAGAGATGCTTCTACCGCTATATATAAGTCATAAAATCTTTCTGGCACTTTCTATAGTCAACACGACATCCGCAAGTCGTAGTTAATAGGCGAAGAATTGTCTTACACCGCCATCACACAGTAATAAGAATGTAAGGAGGTATATGCTAACGTTTTTCAAATGCTAACCTTCACTGAATCCGGTGCACTGGCTACTCTGGAGAAGAGCGTTTGCGATCGATTGATGATGATTTGTCGTTGACAAGAAAAGAATTCAATATTTTTCGTGTAAAAACGATGCTCTGGCACTATCGTAAACGCATATTCCGCGTAGGAGGATAGTGTTAGGCAGGAGGTTTCGGTAGATATATTAAACATGGCCCGACCACAAGACTCGGAACACAAATATTTTGTACTCTACACCATTTCACCATTGAGTTATTATGTACTACGTACTAGAGGCGACACTGCGTTCAGCTATTCTGTTCCATTCAACTGCGGTGCTTACACCGCACTTTAATCAGTCATTCGCTAGGCGCTTGTAGAGTTGTATCGTGTTGTGTTGATTTAAAAAAATCTCTTGATAAAAATATACTTAGATATTGCACAAATCATTCAAGAAATGTCAGTAAAAACAAAGGAATTACTTTTCATCGGTTAATAAGATACTTAGTCAATAAAAAGTATCCCTTTGTATTCTTTTGTTTAAGGATGCAATAAAGCATAAAATAAATAAATAAATATATATTAATAACAAAACAAATTATTTGTAAGACGCCATCTCGTGTCATGGAATATAGGTTATGAAATTAATTTGTTAAGAGCCCAGTCTTTCAGAGCAAAACAGAAAAATTGCGTTCTGGTGACACATCTACACCCTCCCTGCCCCGCCACTTCATGTACCGCCACCGCAGTTATCTTTCTGGCCGTAGCGTGGAAAGTTGCTCTACTAAGATTTTCCAGTATCAATTTATCTAATATACAGGATTATTGATAATTAGCTAACAAATTTTCACATACAGATTTTCTACCTCGTATCTATTTTTGTTCCATGCTTTTATTACAAAATTCGTTACACAAAAAAAATATTTTAAGTTTGTATAATTTTTGTTGTTTTGTTGAAAAGGTTTCTAAAAGATAATCATCTAGAACCTGTATAACATGTACTCGTATTATTGATTATTCAAATGAATCTGGCAAGTGCTAGAATGAGTCGTGCACTGAGGGTTTCGTAATAAGTCGATGACACTATCGAAAATCCGTCAAGTACGTCAAGTAGTTCTAAATACTAAAATAGATTAAAAAAAAACTCAAAATAATTTCTATATAAGTACAAACAGTCCACTATCACACATATTTATAGTTTCTCATTAAAGTATAATGTAACTTTGTATAGCATTTACCTATATGCATTACAAATATGCAACTCATTTATAAACTATTCTTAAAAGTACCTACCTAATTATATACCTAATATTTAACCAAGTGCTCACACATATGCACGTTGTTAACTATTTTACTATGAAACACAAAAAAACTTACCTTTGAATTCTATTTCTGTTCATTGCTTCAACGTTTGATTTCAATTTTCGTTTTCTGGTACAAGCATATTTTTTACGTTTATGGTCCATATCGAAATTAAAAGTTATAAAACAAATACAAAATGATTTATAAACCCTTAAAGAATTATATGCAAAAAATAATAAAGTAGAGCAACTTTCAATTCGTAACAATGCGCAACCAAGATTAGGGAAAGAGAGAGAAAGAGGAATGTTAGAGCGAGAGGAAGTGCAAAAATTTGGCACAGACAAGACGTCTGAACGCTACAGCCGCTCAGCGGCTACTAAGGAATATTGCCCGCAATTATTGTTTATAAAGGCAATATTTTATAGGTCGATCGAAATAATTATTAATTTTGAAATAAAGTGGTTTAAATTATTATTTTTTAATATTTGTCTAATTAAACACCTGCCCTTGAGAAAAAAATAATTATAGCATAAATATTTTCAGCTATTGCTATGAAACAAATAGTTTTTTATGAGGCGAAAACAGCGAAATTTAACGAAATTGAGACCTCTTATTTAAGACAATGAAAGATATTTAGAAAAAAAGAAACAGCGCATTTTGGAGATGAAGATGTTTAGCTATTAACGCGCTGAATAGATTTCGCCTTTTTATTATCGATTGCCTTATAATGGTACACGAACAAAGCTCGAAATTGCGTTGGGTGCGAGAGAGCTCTATTTACCGTTTGATTTATCTAACATAGGCCACATAGATGAACCAAAAAAAAAAATTTAGCCATTACTTATAATCTGGGTATTTATGTGTTATCAAAATATTTTACTCTGAAACAATAATTTGCTGTAAAAAAAGAAATCAAAGTGGCGCTAATGATTCGATGTGAGTCAACTTTAAAAGACTGTAGCCTTAAGATGCAACATTTCTGTGGGTACTTAAGTATAGGACGAATATATTATTATACACATTTTTTTAGAAACATAATTTATCGTAATTGGGCTAAATTTTTTATATTTAAATTCCTTATTATTCTTTTATTTTATTTTTAGGTTTCCACATCAAAGTCAAAGTGGAATAAATTCGTCCATTTTTAACTCTCGAGTGCCCAGAATTTATGAACGAATCTTATTCTAATTTAAATAAATACAATTGTAATTTAAATTTTATATTAATAAGTTTTGTTAAACATACATTTAGTATGTTTTTTATATTTGACATATATACCTTTTAAAATATTGAGATAAAAATATTATTAAAATGTAATTGTGATATAATATTATGTAATATTATATTAAATAAGCAAATATTATAATATACAAAATAAATGACAAAATTTAAAAATTGTTTTCGGTATATTTTACCTATTTAACAATACAATCTACTATTACCTACTGATCATTCTACCTATGTTTATTCTATGATAAAAAAAAACCGCGCGAACACAGACTAGCGCACATTTTTTGTTTAAAATAGCTGTTCTAGACGTAAGTACATATTACTTCAATGCTCTACATAAATATTTTTGCCATGTAGGGGCAGCATATAAGATTCCACTGTGTTATTCCGTAGATGTCTAAAGAGGTAACAGGGGCAAATGAAACAGAATTTGAGCAGCAGTATGTTTCAGATTACAACTAAAAAAAATGCAATTGACAATACGGTTACCATGCGTGATAACTATGGTAAATGAGGCACACTATTGCTCGTGCATTAATTGTCCATGCGGCACAGCCATGAGGCACATTATGTTCATCATTGGGCTTTAATAAGATTTAATGATGATGATGACAAAAATACTTATTCCTTGCGGAGTCCGAACTCGCGGCTCTGTAACGCCGCAGCCAATGCTCAGTCACTGTGCTACCGAGTTGCCTGAATACTCAGAAAGACCATGTCGGGCGGTTGACATAAAAGGGTTGTTGATGTGGTGTGTGATATACTCGTATTATTATAGTTCATAGTTGAACATAGGCCTTTTGTATTGTAGGGAAGGTTTGCCATGCAGATGGGTCACAGTATTCAGATGACAATTTTGACACTGTTCCTCATATCGGCCAAAATAAGGCAGGTAAAGTATAAGTCTGCCGTACATGGAATTATTGTGCTGCCATCTGTCGGAAGTCATAATATTGTTCTGGTATACCTTCAACTCTTAGGACACTCGTGGCACGTTATATAATAATTATTACACTTTATTTAATATATAATTGAGGTTATAGATTATCTTACGCTATAACTACACTGTAAAAATATATTTCTATTGTTGCACGACACAGTTGATGGCACTAGCGCCATCTGATATCAAGTATCAGAAATAGGAGTGTCAAGATTTTTCTAGAACGCTCCTATTAGCGCCATCTAGTATCGGATAGAAGAAATAAGCTTTTTAGAAAGCTCTACACTCGAACCTTCTGCACCTGGTCGGTCGGGGGTCGGTATTTGCTGGAATATTCTGGATGTTTTGGTGAAAAAGGCCTATTTAAAGCCGTTGAGGGCCGCTACCGGGGCAGTATTGAATTGGCGATACGAGCGAAACTTTCGGAGTGAAATTAAGTGAACTAAAGTGTTGAGTGTGATTAATTATTAGTGTGATTTAAGTTTTAATTGGTGTTTAGTAATTAAAGTGTCAATTTTGGTAATTAAATAGGCAGTTTTTATTGTCACGAACTCTAAGCCCGTAACACTATTAATAATTTTACGATAGTGCCAGGCTGCAGATGTAATAGTAATACATCAGATGTAATAGCTGCAACTCGAATGGTCTTAACTGGGAAAGGACCTCGCTCTTACAGCACACCAAGGTAAAATATATTATAAAATTGCAGTATTTCGGTATGATAAGTAAAGCCTATAAAGATGGCAGACTGCCCTACACAATCATTTACATTGCGTCTGCATTTTGTTGTTCGTCGTTAGATGTCGATGTCTATGTTCCGTAGCATATACTAACAATCAGGTGGACTATGGACACGAAACAATAAAGGCAATATAATGAGATTAAATTCAAACAAAAAGCTAATACAGAAACAACTTATGGAAAAATATAATTTAATTTGAATACGAACGACAATCTTCATATTATGTAAAATATTATTTCCGTATTAAGGGCCCTTGTAGGCGTTATTTGGTTGTTTCATTTTCCATACACAGTGGTTGTCAAGGCAAGCTTCCATTAGTTGCGTTACGAGCTTTACAAGGTTCTGACGTCAAGGACTGTCATCGACTGGTTTAATAGACATTGTTAATTCTGACGTTTATACGCTGATAGCTCTGAATATGTAATTTCAGTCGGTTTGCATATTGCGTAACTATCCACTATGTAAGACTGAACTGGTATAATTAGAAACAAATATCTTGGTAGGTATCTTATTTTAAAGTCATTTTTGTTCTGCTGATCTATTCGAATTTGTTATGCACTTATGAATTTATAGTTAATATGGTTTTATTAAAAACATGCCTTTATTTACTTGTGGGTTAAAATGGATTCGTAAGCTATATAGTTTTTTTTAATGTACAGGTACTTTATATTTTAACAGTGTTAGAGCTACGCAGCAGCTTTTGCTGTTGCACATATGGGACGGCTCGAACCATGTGGTACCACGACCTCACAGAAAACTAGTATGAAGTAGAAGCTCTGCTTCTGCATTTCGTCTGGTCAGTGAAAGTGGCCGGGACTCCCAATCCTCCCCTCCCCTTTACATGGCAGCGGAGTTAAAAACCACACGACGGTGATGGAAAATTTCCCACTGAGCATCCACGCCCAAGCTACCCTAATCTTCCTGAGCGTAGGTGATCAGGCTGACCCGCGTATTCTGAAGGGGTGGGGGGGGGGGCGAATTTCCACTCAAGACTGAACCTGCTTGGGGTGAACGGAGCATAAGACAAAGGCGTTGTTGTCCCCTGCCACGCTATCCGTGGATTTCTGCAACATCAGGGGACTTCATTTAAATCTTAACGCCGTCCACTACCATATAGAAACGGCAAAGCTGGCCTTGCTCTTTCTAACCGAGACACAGGTGTCTTCTCCGGCTGATACTTTGTATCACTACTCCTACCCGGGGTACAAATTAGAACACTCCTTTGTGCCCCGGGCTGGAGTTTGCGTGTACGTCAGAGACGAAATCTGTTATCATCAACTTGGCAGGTTAAAGGTATGGGCCTATACAAGCTATGGCTGCGCGTAGACCACGACGACCATCCGCGCATTTCCGGGTGCCACTAAAGGTTCCATAGCGGTAATGCCGAGACAGATCAACTCTTCAACCACGTCCAAATGGCTGCAGACTCCGTCCTAAAACTGGTCCCATCAGCAGAAATCGTGATGCTCGGTGATTTTAACATTCACTAATGGCTTGTTTCCCGTTTAACCGATCATGCGGGTAGATCTGTTTGTGACTTTGCTTTGGCACATGGTCTGACACAACTGGTATACTATTATTGATTGTGGAAGATTATGTACCTTCCATGTACCAACTGGTATACTATTATTGATTGTGGAAGATTATGTAACCTCTCATCCGGACGGATATCAGATCTCTGTCGATGCTCTTCTGGGCTTCTCGGACCATTGTCTGATCCAGAGTACTGTGCCACTCAAGCCCCTCCAATCGCGGTTGCGTTCGATCCCTAAAAGAGGTAACCGCTCTGATCCGTTCAACTATAGGCCTATCGCCATCACCTTCTTGTTCTCTAAAATAACGCAGTCCATTATTAACAAGCAGCTCATGCGATTCCTCGAGGGTTACCAGCTGATTAGTGACTGCCAGTACAGTTTCCGTCAGGCTCGCTCAGCTAGTAATCTTCTGGGTTACCTAACTCATAAATGGGCAGAGGCAGTAGAGTCCAAAGTTGAGCCGTTGGCTGTTTGTTTGGACATAGCGCAGGTCTTCGATCGGGTTTGGCACAAAGCGCTTCTTACGAAGTTTCCTTCGTATGGGCTTCCCGAGAAATTGTACAATTGGATCAACAGTTTTCTTGCAGATCGGAGCATTAAGGTCGGAGTTGATGGTGCATGCTCAGATTACAAGCCCACTAATGTTGGTGCTCCACAAGGCTACGTGCTATCACCAACGCAACGCTATCACCGACGGTGTAACCTAACCTCGGGTCGGTGTTGTTACGCGTTCCGTAAACTAGCGTTTTAAAATTATATTCCAAACTTTTTCTCATTCAGTGTATCAAAATTTAAATGGTGATCTGATAAATACCATATAGTGTTATATTACATAACTTTTAATGGGTATAAATATACTAAAATCAGTTATAAAAAATTGTTCCCTACATTGGATTATAAGCTTTGTGCGGTGGATTGATATTCTTATTGCGACGGACTCCAGCGTGAATAGTACGCGACATTCACGGTTGTGTAATGTGCATAAGTGTTCCTTTGGCTTGTAACGTTCATAAGAACTAAAGGGGCAAACGTTATCATAACAAAAGTGAAGGTGTAATTATTTCAATAACAATCTTTAATATAATTTGTTATCTAATAAATCTAAAGATGTCAAAAATGATTTGGGGTTGCTGTACACCACATGGTGATAATAATGAGAAATATATTGTATGTAAAAAATGTAATAAAAAATATCATTATACATGTATGTGCCTCGAGTACTCCGCATATAATGCTGAGATGCGATCCCTTTGGTGTTGTCCTGAATGTTTAAATGCTGCTCCAAAAGCAACAAAACATGATAACACTCCAGTACGCAACGTTTCCACCAGGGGTTGCAAACGAACTACCCCTAACTCTCCTCCGATTTCAAGTGAAAACATTGTTATGAGCAAGGAAATTATTCGTGAAGTGGTGCAGGACATCATTAAAGAGAGCACGAGTAACATAGTTTCAAAAATGCAAGAGAGTATAATCAACATCCTTAATAATGAGCTGAAACCAGTACGGGATAAGTTATTACAGATAGGTGAGTCTATGAATTTTCTTAATAGCCAATATGAAGATATGAAGAGGGAGAACGAATACTCTAAAATGAAAATAAGCGAATTGGAAAAAGAGAAAGACATATTGAAGAGTACAATTAATGATTTAAACTTGCGTGTTGACCTAATGGAGCAGCATGCGCGTCAGAATAATATTGAACTGCAATGTGTGCCAGAGCATAAAAATTAAAACTTATTAAATATCATTACGCAGTTAAGTAAAACCGTGGGTTGTGTTTTGAATGATAATGACATTATACACTACACGCGCATCGCAAAGGTGAATAGAAATAATACTCGTCCACGGTCTATCATTCTACAACTGGCGTCCCCAAGAAAACGCGATGAGCTCCTTGCATCTGTAATTAAATATAATAAAAGAAACCCTGCAAATAAATTGAATAGCACTCTTTTAGGAGTGCCTGGCAATTCTTCTCCTGTATTTGTGGCTGAGCATCTGTCTCCTTCGAACAAAGCTCTTCACGCTGCAGTTAGACTAAAAGCAAAAGAAAAGGGATACCAATATGTTTGGATAAGAAATAGCCGAATCTTTATGCGAAAGAATGATGAAGCAAATTATATCCAAGTCAGAAACAAAGACATGCTACAAAAAATAGAATAATTTAGTTATTAAGTAAATTTAGTAGTTAAGTATATTGTGGCTTTTAAACTTTATGAACAAATTATATATAAAATTCACTTCTCTAAATTTGTATTATCAAAATACGCGGGGTTTGAGAACAAAAACTAACTTTTTTTATCAGCAAATTCTTTGTTGCGATTACGATGTAGTAGTACTCACGGAAACTTGGTTAAATAAATCTGTTCTTAATAATGAGCTTTTTGATCAACGATATATTGTCTACAGAAAAGATAGAGAGGATGCTGAATATTGTTCTAAAAAAAGATGGAGGTGGAGTTTTAATCGCTGTATCCAGAAAAATAAAGTCTCGTCGTATGTTTGAGTGGGAATCTAAAGTTGAAGATCTTTGGGTTGTAATAGATGCAACGGTTTCAAAAACTATTCGCAAGATAGCTCTTTGTGTCGTTTATTTACCGCCACCAGTACATTATTCTTTGTTAGAGCATTTTTTAGATAATTGTAGTTTTGTTTTCGAACAATGTGATAGACATTGTATAATTGGTGATTTTAATTTACCTAGTATTAACTGGAGTTTGTTAGGTCATGTCGCGAGTGATAACAAACTAACAAGACTAAATCAATTCCTAATTGACTTTACACATATGAATGGTTTACAACAACTTAATCATATAGTTAATGCGTCAAACCGAATTCTCGATCTTGTCTTATCTAACTTGCCATCTTGTACTGTGAGCCGTTCTCATAACTCATTAAGTATTATTGATCAATTACATCCACCTCTTGAGGTTGATATTACGTTGATTAATGAAACAAAACTCTGTTTTAATAATAATATTATTAAGTTAAACTTTTACAAAGGGGATTATGAAAAGATAAATAAGGAATTGTCAAAATGCAACTGGGAAAATATTTTTAAGGGTCATCATAGTGTAGATGTCATGCTTGAAACATTCTATTGCAAAATTAACGCCATTATTGCAAAGTTTGTCCCTAAGAAGAAAATACGAAATAATAAATACCCACCTTGGTTTGATAAAAATCTTATTAGAACCCTTAAAGATAAATATAAAATCAGGTGTCGGTTTAAAAAATATCGAAATCCTATGGATGAATTAGAGTTACAATTATTAAGTTCTCGTTGTGGACGAATGGCAACAGAGTGCTATAATCGTTACATTAGCAACTTGGAGAAGCAAATAGCCAGTAATTCAAAATCATTTTGGTCATTCATAAAAAACAAATGCGGAGGTACTAGTGCTAACCCTATTTCAATGTCTGACGGAAATGTAACTGCTACAGATGGGGAACAAGTATGTGAACTATTCTCATCTCAATTTGCATCTGTATATACTGACGGGGTTGACAATGCTTCGAATAATTACGTTCTCTCTAATTATTTAAATTATTTAGAAAACTATAGTCTACATCTTTCGCCTATTGTTATCGATAACGAATCACTTTTAAAAAAAATTAAAAAGTATTTACTGTAATAAAGGTCCCGGCCCTGATGGGATCCCACCCGTTTTTATAGCAGCATGTGCTAAATATTTAGTATCACCCCTGTCATTAATTTACAATAAATCACTCTCAACAGGCATGTTCCCGGCTAAATGGAAAATTGCAAAGGTTATTCCTATTCATAAATCGGGAAATGAAGATTCAGTAAAAAACTACAGGCCCATTTCAATACTGTCATCATTTGCTAAAATTTTTGAAGCTTTGATATGTCCATTTCTACAAGATCATTTTAAGCAATTACTTAGTGATAAGCAACACGGGTTTGTTCAATGTAGATCAACAAACTCTAATCTGGTAAGCTTCACTGAAACTCTTTATGAAGCACTTGATGCCAATAAACAAGTTGACGTCATATACACGGATTTTAGTAAGGCTTTTGATCGCATTTCACATAGTGTACTCCTAAAAAAACTGTCCGCATATGGAATCTGTAATGGTTTAATGCAATGGATCTGGTCTTATCTAACCGACCGTACTTTTTATGTGGTCATCAATGGCTTTAAGTCGAGTTTGCGTAAAATCACATCTGGCGTACAACAGGGATCTCACCTGGGCCCACTTCTGTTTAATGTTTATATTAATGACCTGCCTTTGTGCCTAAAATTTTCTGAATCTTACATGTATGCTGATGACTTAAAATTTTGCAGAATAATTGAAACGACAGATGATGCACGTAAACTCCAGTGCGATCTTGACAATATCTTTCACTGGTGTATTTTGAATAAGATGGAACTCAATGCAAAAAAAATGTTTCTACGTAAAATTTGCTCGGAAAATGAATCTAGTTCACTACAGTTATCATATAGGCAATAATAATTTACAGGAACTACAAGAGACCAAGGATTTAGGCGTCATATTCGACAGCAAACTCACATTCGTGCCTCATATGGAATATATTACAAAACGTGCCACCAAAATGTTAGGATTTCTTTACAGAAATATTAAATTTTTCCGCAGCAATAAAATCAAAATAACGCTCTACAACAATTTAGTACGAAGTATCTTAGAATACTGTTCTGTAGTTTGGAGACCACATTATGCAACGCATTCTTTACGCTTAGAACGAATACAAAAAAAGATTCATGTGGCATTTAGTATACTCAAATCGAATTTCAAAAAAGAAACTTTCTTCGTATAAAAAACAGCTATCTTTTTTCAAAATTACGTCCTTGGCTAATCGCAGACAAATATCCGACTTACTCTTCGTAAGCAAATTATTGAATAATAAAATTAACTGCCCTCAATTGTTGAATAAGATAAAATTTCGCGTACCTCATAGATACCCCCGTAAGAGAGTAATTACTATTAGATCACCTCTTCGTAAAACAGTATTTGGCGCTAATTCCCCGATCTCTAGGTTAAGTAAATTGGTCAATGAACTTCCCCACGCTTTTGATATTAATTCCGACTCACCTAACAAGCTCAGAAAAGAACTACTCAAACATTATGCAAATGTAATAGATTAAGTTTTTGTATTTTTTTAACGTTTTGGTTTTCTGTAACTATGTAATATTCTTGATGTTTATTCCAGTGCATGTTGTAATCACCTATAATAGTTTGTAGCATTTAAAGTAATACCCTACCTATGTATGTATGTAAATTATAATTTAACAATGTATACAAATGTTGGTGATGCTTTAATAAATAAAAAAAATAAAATAAAAAAAAACGCTGTTTCTTCTTCATATCAATTATAGTTGGTAACATTCATTGTTATGCGGACAACAGCACCGGTGTCGCTTTATACACCGTCCGTGTCAATATTTATCGGGAAAACGTCGCCAAGTACCGGGATGGGACAAGCTTGTGTCAGAAGTCGAGACTTTGTTGAACGAAGTCCTGGACTGGGTCCGACTAAATCTAGTCCGATTTAGTCGGACCCAGATTTAGTTTAATCAGAAGACACAAGTTTGCGCGTTAACTGCTAAAAAGAACCCCTTCGTCGAATCTCCTCGGTTTCAAAGCACCCCCTTGTTGCCTCAGCCAGCATCGGAAACCTCGGCGTCGGCATATCGAGCGACGTGCAGTTTTGTGGTCACTTAGAAGAGAAGGCCCAATTGGCCTCTAAAAAGCTTGGTGTGCTCAGCAGAGTAGGACAGTATTTCATGCCGGCACACTACCTGCAACTTTAGTTTTCCCTAACATAGAATACTGTTCCCATATCTAGGCTGGGGTCCCCAGTGCCAGCTCCTTCCATTTGATCACATCCAGCGCAGAGCCGTTTGAATCGTTGGTGACCGAGCTCTTTCCGATTGACTTGACTCACTGGCACTGCGAAGAGATGTTGCATTTCATGGCGTGTACCACGGGGAGTGCTCTGAGGAATTGTTCGGGCTAACTTCAGCCGCACAATTTCACCATCACACATCGCGACGAAATTCGCGTTACCATCCATACCATCTGTATAACTGGTGGTCCACTAATGTTCGATTTAAAAGAAGTTTTATTCTTTCGCACAACTTCCTTTTGGAATTGACTACCACCAGAGATTTCTGCGGAACTGTACACTTAGGGACCTTCAAGAAAAGAGCCTACTTATTTTTATTTTATCTATTATTTTTAAAACATGTATCGCATCTGCAGTTCCCCTGATGTTATGAGAGCCGTTTGCTCGTATATCTCCAGTAAAAAAATAAAGATTATTGGTAACATAAATGTCAAAAAAGAGTATACGTTCTCCGATCAAAAGAACCTCGTTTTGGAACGGTAGTAGAAGTACAAGTGGTAAAATTAAAAAAAATGTACAACCAACTTTAGTACGACCGAATCAATGCATTGGAAGTCAATTAAATACACATTATTAAAAATAACTCAAAAACTACTGGTCAGATCTTATGTACGGGATCACATGAGAAGCACCAGCTTTTATAAAAAAAGAATCATTAAAATCGGTTCACCCAGTGGAAAGTTATGAGGTAACTAACACACATAAAAAAGAACATACAGTCGAATTGAATAGTTCCTCCTTTTTAAACTCGGCAAAAAAAAGTTTCTCAAGAAATTTATATATATATATATTTTTTATTCCTTACGTAGAACTATAATTAAATTTGATCTTGTGTTGCGCA